CGCTATTTGGGCCGGTTTCTGTACCGCCAATAACAACTGTAAAATTTCCTTCTGATGCTTAATATTTGCCCCCTGGGAGGACAAAAGTCCTCATTCTTTCCATAATGCTCCATGGACATGAACCACTCCAAAAGCCTATTTTGAATCTGTCCAGATGTTCCCTTTCTTTCCCTTACTTAATTCCAATGCTCATGTTAAGGCAATTAATTCTGCTTTCTGTGCTGATGCTGCAAATGCTTGGGCAGTGCATTTGCCTCTACCACAGTACTTTCAGTTGTTACCACATATCCTGCGTAGCGAGTTCCATTCTGTACAAAGCTACTGCCATCTGTAAACAGCTCCCATTCAGGACCTTTGAGGGGGACATCCTTCAAATCTTCTCAACGAGAGTATGTATGTTCAATAGTCGTTATACAATCATGTTCAGGTTGTTCTTCCTCCTGTGAAGCTCTCAGAAAAACTGCAGGATTTACAAGATTAGTTGTTTTCAGAATCACATCATCTTGCTCCATAAGGATTACCTGATATTTCATCATTCTGCTAGGGTACAGCCAACACCCCCCTTTTTGTTCCAACACTGTAGCAACCATATGCAGAACATAGACTGTGATGGTTCTTCCCAAGGTGAGCTTTCTGGCTCCTTGTATCAATATTATTGTTGCCGGTACTGTCCGCAAGCAGGAAGGCCATCCTTTGCTCACCGCGTCCAGTTGTTTAGAAAAGTACCCACAGGTCTCTTCCAGCTTCCATCCGCTGGGTCAGGACTCCCAGGGCAAGGTGCTGCCTTTCATGAACAAACAACTGGAAATCTTTAGTTAAATCAGGTAATCCTAGAGCTGGTGCTGTCATTAAACCTTGCTTAAGCTTTTGAAAGGCCTCCTGTTGTTGTTGACACTATATGAAAGGGGTGGATTTTTTTGGGGCCTCGTATAATGGCTTGGTCAAGAGACCATAATCCACAATCCAAAAATGACACCACCCAGACATTCCCAAGAAAGCTCTTAATTCATGTACAGTCCGAGGTTCCGGAATAGCACAGATTGCTTCCTTTCGATCAGTCCCAAATCTTCTTTGCCCCTTTTGAAATCTCAAAGCCTAAATATATCACAGTTTGGCTTGCTATTTGGGATTTCTTCTTAGACACCTTATACCCATTAAGTCCCCCAAAAAATTTAAAAGTTCAATGGTTACCTGTATACAGGCTGTCTTTTCTTCTGTAGCTATTAAGATGTCATCCACATATTGTAAGAGTAGATGTTCTGGTCGCGGAGTCATTGTCTTTTCATTTGTCCCTATCTCTAGTTCTTTGGCTAGTTGGCTGCCGAAGATTGTTGGGCTGCTCTTAAATCCTTGGGGCAGTCGTGTCCAGGTTAACTGTACTTTACGCCCTGTTTGTGGGTTTTCCCACTCAAAAGCAAACAGCTTACGACTTTCCTGTTTCAGGGGTATGCAAAAGAAAGCATCTTTCAAATCAAGCACTGTAAACCACTGATATTTTTCTTTAAGGGCTGTCAATAAGGTATATGGATACTACCAGGTGAATGTCTTTTACAATTTGATTTATAGCTCTCAAGTCCTGTACTAATCTATACTCACCTGTGGGCTTTTGGACTGGTAAAATAGGGGTATTATATTCTGGCTCACATTCTTCTAAAATCTTATATTTCAAGAATTTGTCAATCAGCCTTTTAATTCCCTGGTTTGGCTCAGGTTTAATTGGGTATTGTTTTTTCCTAACTGGTTTTGCTCCTTCCTTTAATTCAGTTTTCACTGGTTGTGCCAGTTTAGATTTTTCCAGGGACATCAGTTTCCCACACCATGGGAACTACTGCATAACTCACTTCTGTGGGGGATTTCTTGTATCTTTGTTTTTTTCCTGTATCATCCGAATTTCCCCTGGTTTTGATTCTGGTATTTTTAACAACAATTCTTAATTTTCAAAAACTATCTGGGCATTTAATTTGGATAGCAAATCTCTTCCCATTAAAGGTACTGGACATTCTGGAACGTACAGAAATTCTTATGTTATGATTTTAGTTCCAAATTGTAAATTCAGCGGTTGTAAGAATGGCCGGTTTTTCTCCTTCCCTGTGGCTCCCACAATATTTACCATTTTAGATCCTATCATCCCCTTCTGTTTGTTCAGAACTGAGAACGTTGCTCCAGTGTCCACTAAAAATGTAACCTCTTTCTCTCCCAGCTTAACTGTAACCAGAGGCTCAGCTGTGTTCACCTCCAGTCCCCGTCAATCTGCATACTCTCCTACAATCATCACATTAGCTGCTGTTTGCTGACCATTTAATTTCCTTGGACAACCATTTTTCCAGTGCCCCTCCTTCTTACAAAAGGCACACTGATTTATTCCGAGAAGGGTTCTGTCAGTCAAACTTCCTCTTCCCCCTTGTATTCCCCCCCCTTTAAGGGACCTCTTGAGATCTGTAAAAACAATTGCAAAATTGTAGTGTGTGCCCTTCTCTTAAATCAGCACCCGGGGCTGATTGCCCAGTCAGATGCCTATGTCCAGAGTCAGGTCCTCGTTCAGGGAGAGGCAGTGGAATGGGGGGGGGGGAGGGGAGGGGGGTGCGGTGTGTGTGTGTATATGGGAACTGCAGGAATTATTGGAGCAGTAGGAGCAATATCTAATTCAGGACCTGTTTCTGTATATCCCCTTCTCTTCAGTGCCAAATGTTTAAAGCATATTTTGGTGGAAGTACATGCGGGGCAACATTCCTGAACCTTTTTATCCTTTACCATAAGAGACATCACTTGATTAAACAGCCCACATTCTTTTTGCCACTCCGTTTTTTCTCGCAGGTAAAAGAACAGATCTACATACAGAACCTCATCCCATTTTTCTTCCCTTTTACAAAATAACATTAATTGCAAAATAGTATTATAACTTAAGGTCCCATTCAGGGGCCACATTTCTTCATCTTCTAATTTATACAATGGCCATTCATGATTACAAAATTCAGTAAGTTGACTTTTGCTTAATTCTTCATGCATCTCTTTCCAGTGAGCTAAAAGGCAACCTAAGGGAGTGTTTCTTGGTATAGAACTCTTACTCTCTCTCCCTTCTTTAAATAGGTTTGAAAATTTAAATGCCATAGCAAACCGACAGTATACCTTTTTTGTTGTTGTTGGTTTTGGTTTCTCCTCTTTTTTTTTTTTTTTTTTTTTTTTTCCCCCCTTAGCTTCGCTTATCTCCAGCTGCACCCTTCGAGGGATAACAGAACCGCAGATCAAAGCTCTACAATCGCTTCGTGCGTAATTACACGTCTCAGTCACTCATTCACACATAAAACCTCAACAGTATTTCAACAGTGTTTCATTGTTTCCTGTATTACCAGAGTTACAAAGTTACCAGATTCAGAAGCACAGAAACAAATTAACAGAATACGAAAAACACAATTTCCCGTGTCAAGACCAGAAAATACCGATGTGAACACCCAAGTGTTCCTGACCAGGTGTATACCAGTGAGGTGCCAGCAACCCCGGTATACGCTGTTCCACGCAAGATCCCACATCTCACGATTTATGAACAGCCCAGACCCTCTTCGAATAATCCTTGCCTTATTGCTCGCAGTGACTCAACTGAGATAAGGAGTCCCTCCGGGAAAGTTCCCAGGAGTGCCCAAGAGAGTCCTATCCTCAAGGAGTCCCGCGGGCCCCGCTCCTTTAATTCCCTTTCACCACTGACACTGATGCCAACCCTGCGAAACTTTCGTATTCGCCTTACGGGCAGCGCCGAGGCTTCCCCTGCTCAGGAATTCCCTAGCCCCAACCACGCGGAACTTTCGCTCCATCTGACAGGCAGTCTTTCAGCTGATTCAGAAAGAAGTGCCTTACCTTTCCAGGGGACGTTGTGAGGAGCTTTATGGGTCGAGAACGATGGCTCTCCCTGAGAATTCCTCGGTGCCGGCTGGAGTTCGATCAGAGCTCGATCCCGTCCAGTCTCACTCACAAGGTCCCATCTGGGTCGCCAAAACTGTTAGCGGTCGCAATCGCGAAAGAACTTATCTACACACAGCAGATAAGCAGGCACTTCTTTATTCCAGCGCTGGGGAACACGGGGGATAACTCCGCCAAAGACATGATCGCTGACAGGTACAAAGCACAACATATTTATACACTTTTTCAGCACAGTCATGGTTACATAAGATCAACAAAATTCATAAAGTTTAAGTTGACCTTAATAAATGATTGGCTTTCAGTTACCTCACCTTATCTGTATTCCTATTTTACAGAAATCATTGGTCATCTTTACTGATTGATTTAAATAGAATGGGGGGAGGGCAATGATTAGCATATTCATGTTATTTCCTGGAAATTATTATCATATGCAAATGTCCCTAGTGCATGCGTGGTTATACTGGACGGGGGTCCTCTGGTGGTCGTCGATAGTCTTCGTCACTGTGTCGGCTGATTGAACTCCATCCCTGCACATGCTCATTTTATCTTTGGCTAATGCTCATTCCTCCTTTGGCCGATTTTCCCAACCAAACCAGTTTTCCTCTGGTACCTATTGTTTCAAGTCAAGATCCATAACCAGTACCTATTGTGTTAATTCAGAGTCCATAACGATTGTTATAGTGTTCAAGGCACACAGCATACTAGTTGCTTAATCCTAAGGGCCTTAGTGTACTTTATATTCTCATAGCTACTGTAGCTTCATGTTAAATCAAAATCATACTTTTAAACTAAAATCAAAATAATATTCTAGGATTCGAACTGTTTTATTAAGGTAACTGCAACAGTGACACAACGCGGTGGCGACCGGCGTCGGGCCCGGCTGCTGCTGCCCGCGTTCCCCGCTCCGGCGGAGACAGAAGGAGGGAGGGAAGGAGGGAGGGAAGGAGGGAAGGAGGGAAGAAGGGAAGGAGGGAGGGACGGAAGGAGGGAGAGAGGGAGGCCGCCGGGCTCCCCGCCCCCAGCCGCCCCACCCCCCGCCGCCCCACCCCCCGCCCGCCGCAGCCGCCCCGGCCCCGCCCCGGCGGGCAGCGTGGGGCGGGGCCGGGCTGCCGGAAGACCCGCGCGGATCGACCGGTGCCGCTTCCGGCCCGGCACAATGGCGGCGAGGCGGTAGCGGGCGGGCCGGCGGCGGAGGCCGGTGAGTACCCTTCTCTCGGCGGGCGAGGCCTTCCCAGGCTGCGGGCGGCGGCCCCCGGCGTCCTCTCGCCCGCCCTTGCGCCTCCCTCCCTCCCTCCGGGGCCAGGGCCGCGGCTTGCTCTGCCCGCGGGGCCGCCCGGCTGAGGCGGCGGGGCAGGGCCGAGCGGGGCGCGGTGGCGGGGGGACGGGTGGGTGTGGGTGTGCGTGTGCTTGCTGCGCCACGGTCCCCGCGGCTGCCCTGCACCGGCCGCCTGAATGTGCGCGTGTGTCCGCCGCCACCAGGCCGTTCCCCGGGCCTTCGGTTGTTGGGAGGGCTGGGGGAGGCAGGAGGGGACCGGGGGCCCCCGTCAGACGGTGGAAGGGCTGGAAGGAGGGGGCCGGAAGCTGCCCCGTGGGAGCGAGGGTGCCCCGGCCCACGGCAGCGTGTTTCCGTGTTTCCTGCGTGGCAGTGACGGAGGCCGGTATCGCAACGCCGCCGTCTGTGTCCCCCGCTGGTTCTGGCTCCGCAGGAAACCGTGTCCGTCCCCCGGCTGCCTTGCTGCTGACCCCGCCCCCCCCGCCCCCGGGGCGGCCCACCCACCCACCCCACGCCAGGCCAGCACTTCGCGTCGTGGTGGGGAGCCAGACGCGAGTGCAAACTTTGACTCCGTGCTCGTTTCCAGTGCAGGGAGGGTGTCGTCATCCAGCCCGGTGGCTGGGTGCGGGCGTTGCTTCTGGGGATGACTCCACAACAAGCTGGTTTTAGGTCACTCCGAAATTCAGATATGACAGCAGTTTGCTTCCTGAAACGGGAAGCAAGTTTGCCATGAGCGTTTGAAACTTTTCTTTCAGCTTGTAGCTGGAATAGCTGCATTTCCATGGTTGTACATAATGGGCTATGAGTTCAGGTCTTTAGGACAGGAATCCTACTCGTTTTGTCACTCATGTAAGAGTATTAAAACCTCTTCTGCTTTTTTAGGATAAACACTGAAAGCCTCAAGCCTATAGAAAGCAGGCACTGAGATGCCTAAGGGTACTTTTGGGGTCTGTAGAACTTAAAAATGCGTTTAAGAAAATCAGGTACCCTATTCCCTGTCCTGGTTTCAGCTGGGATAGGGTTAACTTTCTTCCTAGTAGCTGGTATAGTGCTGTGATGATAACGCTGATAGCACTGATGTTTTAGTTGTTGCTAAGTAGTACTTATCCTAATCTAAGGATTTTTTTGTTCTTCATGCTCTGCCAGCAAGGAGGTTCACAAGAAGCTGGGAGGGAGCACGGCCAGCATAAGTGACTTGGACCAGGCAAAGGGATATCCTGTACCATAGGATGTCGTGCTTAGTATATAATCTGAGGAGAATTGGCTGAGGGTGGATCACTGCTCAGGCATTGGTCAGTGGGTAGTGAGCAATTTCATTGTGCATCACTAGTCTTTTCCTGGAGTTTACTTGTCTTGTTGTTATTATATTTTATTTTAATTATTAAACTGTTCTTATCTCAACCCACAAGTTCCACTTTTTTTTTTTTTTTTCCAATTCTCCTCCCCATCCCACTGGGAGGGGGGAGGAATGAGTGAGCAGCTGCATCATGTTTAGTTGCTGGCTGGGGTTAAACCTTGACACTCCCATATTAAAGGCAACAGAAGGGCACTTCCTGCTGTTTAAGTAATTTTTGTAAATGCCCTAGGGCCTTCTCTGCATCCTTAAACACATACATGCCTTTTGAAAGAGAAAACCTTTCTTGTTTGTTTGTAGGTGGCTATATTTAAATCATATAACATTCAGTGTTGATAGGACTGCTGCTGCTTACGTGTATTTAACCAGTCTCTTCCAGGTGACTGCCCCTTTCAGAATCCACACAGGCTTATGCTAACGTTGGAGTTGTAGCTCCCTGGAAATGTTTTACAGTAAGAATGTGGACATGACCAAGGAGGGGAAGAGGGGGGGAGTGTAGGATGGGATGGACAGGGAAAGAACAAATTGGTAGCCCAGATGTTTTATAGAATACTAAAATAAGGTGGATAATGACTGCTTAATACTGACTAATGTGAGACCTCAGAATGCTGGTCTAGGTAAAAAGTGTGGAGTGCATGGGGAATGCAGCATTGTTTCTTACTCATTATATCATATTTGCCTGAGAAGTATATGGCTATTCAACTTATACACCTTGATCTCCTCTGATCACTATTTTAATTCTTAACAGGGTGAACAGTGTCTACTGTGGGGAAAGAGGATTATTCAGATAATGTAGAATGGCTTTAGGGCCATTCTTGTTACTGCCACCTGCATATTCTACACGCTACAAAGTTCTTTCAGTCATGCTTTCAAAGCTTTTCTGTAATGAGCTGAGACTGATGTGGACTTTTAAAAGTAGTTATCTGTCCTAAAGGCGTTTAGACCTTAATGCCCAGAAAAGCCATAGGCTGTCTCTGTGTTTTGTGAATCACCCATAGGTGTCAGACATTTTAAGAGAAGAAATCTGGCTGAGTTTTGAACTGCCTTTTGCTTGTTTGGAACAAATTTTGCTTTCCACCAAGACATGCTTGCCTTGATGGTATTACGGAACCAGGGCTTTGATTGTTGAGATTTCCATAACAAATAATAACCAGTGTTTATCCCTCGATTAATTTTAAAGTACAACTTTTAACTCTTTAATTTCTATGTGGGAGTCACTAAATTGAAGAGCAATAATCATGGGAGATGCTGCAAAACCTTGCTTTGCCAAACAAAATAAGGAACAGGAAATTTTACATCAAGGAGAATTAAAAGGAAGTCCCTTACAGAAAGACTACCGAGTCATGGATGAATACGGAAATGGCCATAGCAATAAAATAGAAATCAGCCTGCAAAAGAAAAAGGGAAGACCAGGTTACTACGGAAGCAGCCCCAGGCGAGGACCACGTAATGTTTTGAGTAGCCCAAACGCACTGAAAACCACAACTTACAGTCAAGGGTCAAAGTTAAATGATACCCAGAGAGACCAAATGAAGAAGTGGGTATCTGATGACCACCGTGGTACTTCTGACAGCTGGAGAGAGTACAGATCTGTTGCCTGGATTCCTGTGCATAGCAGGACAAGAAGGGACTCTTTTCATGAAGTTGAAGGTACTGGAAACAGAAGTGTAAGACGACGACTTCAGGAAGATGTAATGAATGAAGATGTGACAGGCGTGCAGAAAGGAAGCTCTGGTAATGAACATGTTTGTTTTTACATAGATGTCCAGTAAAGTAGCCTTCTGTGTGTGTTACTGAAAAGTAACATTTCAAGATTCACTCTTAAAACAAAAAATCATTTTTGTTCTGTCACATATTGCAAAGTATTGACTGCACTATACTGCAGCACTTTAAACAAATTGTTACAGTGAATGGTACAGAACTTCTTTTCTAAATTGTGTTGTCTTTGTAAGTTAGTTTATAAGTGGTAGGAGTAAGTAGATTGCAACATCTGTGTAGTGTCCCTGTGCAGTTTTTCAGGTACAATTTGATTGAATCTGTCAAGTCTGATAAGGGATGTTTCCATTAAGCTGATAGAGGGTAAGACTCTAGAGCTACTGATGAGGTCTGTAACAACAGGTCTTAATGAAGATTGAAAACAATCCCTCACAGGTATTGCAGGAACTTAATACTAGCAACAGCAATACAGCAATAACACAAAACTAATTCTTCATGCATATTGAACTTCTCTACGGGCAGTTGGTACTAATAATGAGAGTACAAGCTCTAAGTATTGAAACACAAGGAAGAGCAGGCTAAGGGAGGATAAGGTGATCAATATCATAAGATCTTCATTGAATGTGCATACCATAAGGAAGTGTAAGTAGATCAAAGCAGAAAGAGGAAGCTTTAATGAAGATAATATAATTAGATAAAATAATTAGATAAAAAGACTGAGGCACAGATGAGGTGCTGCTAATATGGAACAACTGCCTGTTAACCAGAAATCTGTTGTCTTTTAGTTAAGAGTGGAGGCCACATACAGTATAGATCTACCCCCCTGCTGAGAAAGAAAGCTATTGCTGCTTGATACCAGGAAGTCCAGGAATTAAATGTCCTTTCCCTTGATATCAGCTGTGACTAAAAAGATGACCTGTCAGCAGGTGCCCAGTGTCTCTCATTGTCAGGTGAGGAGAGAGCAGAGTAGAATTCTTTTGCAAGTTTATTCTCAGATTTGCTGGGTCTAATGGACTTCTTTCTGTGAAACTTCAGGAATTCACTGAAGTAGATTTTCAGAACCGCTGGCAATCATACCTAAGAACTTACTCAGGAGAAATAAGCTACTGACATATAGGAAAGGGCAAGTGTCTCTTAAAAATGCAATTTCAAAAATGGTATGCAACTTCAGTCTTGGGAATCTGTTCTGGAACAAATAATGTAACCTACTCTAAGTATTTGAAAGGTAACAAACTGATGAGTGGGAGTAAACATGGATTTGTCAAGAAAAACATATGCAAAGTCCTAATTTATTTCTTTAAAATAGTGCTCATTCCCCTGTGGACATGGGAGAAGCAGTTTGTAGATACTGCTAGTACTAGTACTATAGTACTTTAGATGCTCTTACATGACAGTTCTGTCAGTAAACTAGAGGAAAATTCTCTAGATGAAATTAGTACAAGAGACCTGCAGAGCTAGTTAGATAACCGTACTCAGAAAATACTCTAAGAGTTTGTCAAAATAACAGGAAGCATTGAGCAAGCATCTATGAGGATTCTGTTCTGTTCAATGTTTATTACTATTCTGATGATGAATGAAGACAGCATGCTTATTAATTGTGTGCTTTTAAATTTGAATATGCTGAGTAGCTAGTAGGAACTCAGTGCACAAAAGTAGGGTCAGTTAAAGTAACTGTGCACAATTGGAGATGACCTACATACAGAATGAAAAAAAGACCCATGTGCAAATGCCATTGTTTAAGTAGGAATGTTTACTGTACAAATAAAGGAGGAAGAGTTGTTATAAAGTATTTTTTCAGATAAGAATCTGAAATCATAGTGAATCAGAATCATAGAATGGTTTATGTTGAAAAGGACCTAAAAGATCATCTAGTTTCACTCCCCCTTGCCATGGGCAGAGACACCTTCCACTAGACCAGGTTGCTCAAAGCCCTGTCCAACCTGGCCTTGAACCCTTCCAGGGAGGGGGCAGCCACAGCTGTTCTGGGCAACCTGTGCCAGGGTCTCACCACGCTCACAGGAAAGAATTTCTTCCCTGTATCTGATCAAAATCTTCCTTCTTTCAGTTTAAAATTGTTAACCCTCATCCTATCACTACACTCCCTGATAAAGAGTCCCTCCCCATCTTTCCTGTAAGCCTTCTTTAAGTACTGGAAGGCTGCTATGAGGTCTCCCCGGAGCCTTCTCTTCTCTGGGCTGAATAACCCCAACTCTTTCAGCCTGTCCTTACAGAGGAGGTGCTCCAGCTCCCTGATCACCTTTGTAGCCTCCTCTGGACTCCCTTCAACAGGTCCAGCCCCAGAGCTGGACATAGTACTCCAGGTGTGGTCTCACCTCCCTTGACTGACTGGCCCCACCTCTCAATGCAGCCCAGGATATAGTTGGCTTTCTGGGCTGCGAGTGCACATCGCTGGCTCATATTCAGTTTTCCATCCACCAATGCCCCCAAGTCCTTCTCTGCAGGACTGCTCTCAATCCACTCATCACCCAGCCCATATTTGTGCTTGGGATTGCCCTGACCCATGTGCAGGACCTTACACTTGGCCTTGTTGAACTTCATGAGGCATGGGCCCACCTCTTAAGGCTGTCAAGGTCCCTCTGGATGGCATCCCTTCTTTGCATGTCAACTGCACCACATAGCTTGGTGTTGTCAGCGAACTTGCTGAGGGTGCACTCAATTCCGCTGTCCATGTCCACAGCAAAGATGGTGAATAGTGCTGATCCCAGTACTAACCCCTAAGGAATGCCACTTGTCCCTGCTCTTCACTCAGACATGGAGTCATTGACTGCAACTCTTTGAGTGTGACCATACAGCCAGCTCCTTATCTGCTGAGTGGTCCATCCATAAAATCCATGTCTCTCCAGAGACAAGATTGTCATGTGGGACAGTTTCGGATGCATTGCAGAAGTCTGAGTAGATGCTGTCAGTTTCTCTTCCTGCTGTAGGCCCATTGTAGAAGGCCATCAGATTTGTCACAGCCTGAAGTACTCCTTTTTCTGTAAGACTTTGGTAAAATCATGTTGCAGTACTCTGTCCAATGTTGGCACCCCACTTGAATGAATAAAATGGAAACAGTCCAAAGAAAAGAAGAATGCCAGGGTACACAGAAAACAGAAACTACACAAACTGTAAACAAGCCCCAGTCTTTCTGCAAAAGGAAAGAGGGTAGGGAGACATAACAGTCTTCAGCTTCAGAAAGGCATTGAAAAGCTGATGTAATAATATGGCTTGCATCTTTCCAAAAGATGGGACACCAAGCAATGGGCCTAAAATTGAGCAAGAATGGTTCAGATGAGGAATAAAGAGAAAGTTTCTAATGGTAAAGCTAGGGAAGTACTGGAGAGGTTGTTGGGGCAGGTCATGGACCTGAAGGCCTTTAAGAACAGGTTAGGTGAGCATTGCTCAGGATTCATCCTCCTATGAAGCACAGGTATGTCATAGCTCACCTCTTGAGGCCCCTTCAAAAGCTCTAATTCTATTTCAAGTAGCAAGCAATTACTAGAAGTGTTTCTTTCAGCATTTTCTTTTACTGAAATCTTTTATGCAGTTGTCCCTTCCCTTTACCTTTTTACTGTAGCTCATGAAGAAGGAGTTTATCAAATCTCGGAAGCACTGTTTTTTCTTCAGGAGCCTTAACTTGTCTCTAGTAATTTATTTAGTCATTAATCTATAATTAGATTGGCACTATTGTAACTACAAAATATTAGAAGTATTTATTTACTTTGTAATTTTTTTGAAGTTACTTAGTGGTTAGAGAAATAATTGAGAAGTAGGTTGTTGTCACACAATTTCCTGCAAAAACATTAATTTAATACATATCTTTCTCCAAGTTCTGTCTACAGTGATCTGTAAAAATGTAGTCAAACAACTGTGGCAGGTCCTAGGAGTTTGAGCAGGAGAGTCAGCATGGAAAATGGAAAGACTCTGTAAAGTTCAGAGATTGAAACTTCTGTTTCTGCTCCTTGGAGCTTTTTCTGGAGCACTCTCCCTGCAACCTATTAAGCCTTAGTTCTGTTTGTTCCAGCATAAACTGGTGCTGCTGCTGAAATGAATTATATTACCATTCTCGTCCTGGTCCTGTTTACAACACTAGCACATGCATGCTGCTTAGTGAACTGAATCAAGCAACTGATTGAAAATACGCAACCAGGTTGTTTCCTTTTTGCCAATTACTGGAGACCAAAATTGTGGTCAGAGGAAAGAAACTTTGTAAATGTATTTGATAGAGCAGCTGTGTTTTATCATTTTTTTTTTTAATTATTACAAATGAAAACCTCATGCTGTTATGAGGGTTTTGGAGTCTGCGGAAGTTGCAGAAACTTTATTAAAAGCAGGATCTGGGCATCCTGTGTAGCTGTTCAAGTGAAAGGTAGGATGTGATCTGAAGTCATGTGTGAAAATCTGGCCTGTGAGTATTCATTCCTGAGATGATTTTTCCAGGTATTATTTGGACCAGTAGCAATTCTTGCTTCAAAATGATGACAAAGTTTGCTTTATAATAGAAGTTGTATTTATATTAACTTGTTCCAGAACTTTTGTTGTAAATATAACAAGGCTTCTAAGCATGTTTATTCTGCCAGTTTTATAGCTTTATTAAGCAATGCATGCAAATACTTAGCAAGTTCATTATTTATTGCTTTACGTAGGAAACAAGATTTCGGGTTTTTTCCCACTTGTCTGTTTAATAATGTAAATGCAATACTGATCCATATGCTGGTTTAATTGAAAGACAGGTGATATTAACAGACAGGTATTATGGTGATAATAATTTTTTGTATGTCAGCTAAGCCATGACAGTGTTATATCATAATGCTTTTAGCCCTTATAAATCATTCAGATTGGCCTACACTAATTATGTGATACTCAATAGTTGTCTATGGGTCAGCTCACTTTCTAGCTTGTCTGCCAAAGCCTGACCAGATATCCTGAAATCTGTGGATATATTCTGCCTTTTAATTATAATGACGTACAGGTATATCTTAACTAGGCAGTGAAACCTATTTCATTTAGTTTTATTTTTTTGCCAGTTTTAATAAAGCTATCTAAATAAGGTCAGTGACTTCAGTGGGACAAATTAATGTTTTTTTAAAGGTACTATAGGATATGACATAAATATACACTCTCACTATTATCAGACTTGCATATAATAGATTATGAAACCATGCGGGGTAGATGATTTGTATCTTCTTTGACTTGCACATAAGTAGAATGGTAATTAAAGAAAAAAAATAAACAATGCTGTGTGGTGCTCTGAAGTTAATTGACATATTTGCTCTCATAACTCTTCATAAGAAATGAAGAAGCTTAGGAAACCAAGAAAATTGAGAAGAACTAGAAAAGATGAGTATGATCAAGATGAAGTGGATGGTCCGGTCATAGATGAATCTGTGCTGTCAGCAAAAGAACTTCTAGGGTTGCAACAAGCTGAAGAACGATTGAAGAGAGACTGCATTTATAGACTGAAGAAGGTGCCACTTATCTTTACTTGTCTTTACTTGTATAGTCCTCTCCTATTTTTTCGTCTGTAAATACAATATAGAGGGTGCACTTTGATCAATTTCTCTGACTGTAGCTAGAAAGTCTAGTTGTAGAATTCATGTAATGTACAAAATGGGTGTTGTTAATGAATTGTCAAGAGAAGGCAGGTTATCCTTTTGGGGTTTTACTATAATAAATCTTGGTTTGCCAGCATTTTAAGCACCAAAAACATCAGCTCCTTTAGTTTATGAATTAACATCAGATCACTAGATACTGGGGCAGTGGACTGGAAAGGTTTTATTGTATGTTTGTTCAGTTAATATATTCTTCCATGGGCACTGGGTATTTTACACTGTAAAAGGCAAGTTGTTGGGCTTAATTGACCCACTACCACCATTCTTCTGGCATTATGTTTGATATGCAAACTTTTTGACTATAAAGATGGAATTAGGAAAACTAAAGTGACTATTTCTGGATTTCAGACTTACAGTCATTTAACTTAGCAAGGGTATTGAATGAAATGAAGGTAATATTATTCTATATTTTAGGGTTTTTTACTGTCTTTATTCTAGCAACCTCGAAGCTACCCATCAGCAAAATATGCCTGCAAATTGTGTGATGTTTTGATTGAGTCGGTGGCTTTTGCTCATAAGCATATTAAAGAGAAAAGACACAAGAAAAGCCTAAAGGTGAGTTAAGGACAAGAAAAAGTATAAAATGCAGATTTATTAAATTGTCCTCATCCTGCTATGACAATGAAACTACATTGCTTCTAAAATCATTCCACATTTATTTCTTTACCCTGTTTGAATCTTAAAAACTATTACTTCGTGATACTGGCAAAAAGTATAAACTTGGGACCTGGACGTTGCTTCCTCCCACAGCTTTAATTTGTTCTTTTTCATGTCTATTATTATTAAAATAAGTCCTCATTTAAAGTATAACTCAGTAATATTTTGTTACTGGTGATTGAAGTATAGTAAAAAAGATGTACCAACTGACTCTTCTGGTTTGCTGTTCTATAATTCTTCTTGTAGACTAGTTATGTGTACTGTTCTTGTTGTATATTTCATTGGCATATTTCAACAGTGAAAAGCTGATCAAGTCCAGAACATTGAGGAGTAGCAATAAGCAAATATAGCTGGTATGGCAGAATTAGAAATTATAACCTGTATGTCAGGGGGAAGATTTCAATTCAGAAATACTGTAAAAATTAAGAACTTCTGGAGTATTACAGACTTGTTTATGCAGATAGGAAATAGGTTTGTTTTGAACATAAGCATGAAAATAACTTCCAGTATTACCTCAATTTTACTTTCTTTTCTTTTTTTTTTTTCTTCTACTATCTCAGTTTGAAGTGGACAAAAATATTTGTCTTCCACAGGTTTTCTACTTCTTCCTCTTTAGCTCCTACCCTTTCCCATTTCATAGGTGATGAAAGAATTGGTTGCTTTTCTTTTAATGTTCCAAATACATGTATACATACCTGTACACATTACTGAAGTCTCCTGGAATATCTAATTTTTATACCTGTCACAGTTTCTCGATATTCTTGCTTCAAATTGCCTCCACTATCTGGAAAACCTGTAGTGGTGTTACTTGGGATGAGTTGCAGGCATTCATTCTAGCACATCAAGCAACTTAGGAAAATCATTAAACCATCAGTGTTATTATCTTTAAAGGAAAAGCAAGAAGAACAGATGCTGACTGCTCTGCCTCCTCCAACACCTTCCCAGATAGAAGCTATTGGTGTTGCTATTGAAAAAGTAGTGCAGGAGTTTGGCTTAAATAATGAAGATCTAGAAGAAAGGCTCAACATTAAAACAGTGATGGAAAGTTTACTGCGTCAAAAATTGCCAGGTATTATTTGCAATTTGTTTTAAATGCTAGATACACCAACTTTAAAACAAACAACAGCTCATAAAGTGAAAACTTAATTAAAATTCTTGGCTAGCTAAATTCTAAAACAGTATATTTAGTTACTAGTCTGTTGAATGACATGATGGGACAATATAACCCTATATCAGAATTAAATTGCAATGGTGCTCATGACCCAAACAGACATGTAGTAAAAAGTAAAGATGAACAAGACATGGGGGACACACGACCTTCATGATAAGCCTTTACTAGAAACAGCATGGAAGGCAGGATTTCCTAACACAGTTCTGCACTGTTGGAAGACCCTTCTTCATTTCCCGTGGTTATCAAAACTAGATGTAAGTTTAAGATCTACTGACAATGCCATAAAGTAGCTATGGACTTAGAATTAGGTATAGAGTAAATGCAGTATAATTTTTTTTTTTGTTGCAGAGTGCTCATTGAGACTGTATGGTTCCTCCTATAGCAGACTTGGTTTCAAAACTTCAGACATAAACATAGATATCCAGTTTCCTGCCAATGTAAGTAAGACCATTTTATTAAGTATGTCTAAATGGTTTTGAATGTTTGCACCTTGTCGTAATTTAAACCCAGCCAGCAGCCAGACACCATGCAGCCACTTGCTCACCGTCCTCCACCTGGGGAATGAGGGAGGGAATTGCAGAGGTAAGGAAACTCGTAGGTTGAGATAAAGACAATTTCTTAATTTGAGTGAAATAAAATTAATGTAATAATGATGATGATAATAATAGTAATAATAAAAATGACAAACAAGTAATGCACAATGTGATTGCTCACCACCTGCTGACCAGTGTCCAGCCTATCCCCAGCTAGCAATACCAGAGTGGGAAAATCCCAAAACCCGAATCCTGGAAGCAAGAGCGAGCTTCCTGGTCAACCCTCACCTATATACTGATCATGGTGCTGTATGATATGGGATATTCCACTGGCCAGTTTGGGCCTGTTGCTCTGGCCGTGCTTCCTCACAGCATGTTGTGCACCTGCGCACTAGCAGGACATGGCAAGTTGAAAAGTCCTTGATTTCTTAGCAACAGCTAAAAACATCAGTGCTTTACCAACCTTCTTCTTGTACCAAATCCCATACTGATTCCAAAACACACCACTATTCTAGCTACTAAGCAGAAAAAAATTAACTCCATCCCAGCTGAAACCAGGACACACCTTTATGTAGATTATAGTTTAAATATAACTTACAGTGTAGTAGTAGCAGCACTTTATATGAAAATGCATTGGGTAAAACAGCTATCACATGGTCTTAAAATAAAATCCCTTGCTTCATATACCAGTAACAGTCAGGCAGTGTAATACAGGTTTGTGTTTTATTGAATCTTCCTTCTGCAAAACTGAAAACACAACACATCTGTACTCCTAGCAGTCCTATGAGACAGATCATTATTTATCTTCTCTTACAACTGGATTAAATGGTACTTCCATGATCTTGTTTCTGTACTGATATATGCATATCAGAGTTTTTGATTGCTAGGTTATTTTTAAGCCATTAAACTATCTTACATCATTTATATGTGAAGTAATACAAAGTCTTGATTTGTCATGCTAGTTCTTTTTATACATCTTTGTGCTTGAACACTGAAAAGAAATTAAGGACTCTGAAAAGCTTTTGATTCCATATTTAAACTTATCACTGCTGCAGTTGATTTGTCAGTCTCATAGTTAAAATTTCACATTTCCTTTAGGAAGCAAAGAAAGAAATGTTGTAGGGAGAAAGAATGATACAAATTTATAAAGTGCATCTAATTTTTTAAAATCCATAATTCCAGTCTTTGATGTGAGGTAGATCTACTATGTCAGAATGCAAGCATATTTAAGCACACTGAAATTATATTTCTGTTGATGGTTTTTTTCCCACAACCAAGTCTTTCGTAGAGGTAAAGATAGCTTTACTTACAATTACTCCAGGTTTATTTATTTTCTTCAGAGTAAGTGGAGTTTGTGTTCCTTTTGATACAATTTAGTGATAGCCAAGGACTAAGAGAAGTATTTTCTCAGTCGTTTTGTTTCTTTCTTGCTGCCCTATCTGGAAGGAAAACAGAAGTGGCTTAGGGGCGATGTTTTAAATTTTTTTTGAGTTGTGGGAAATCACCTTTTTGACAGCTATGAAAAGAGCTTTATTACTCTTATTGACAGATGACTCAACCAGATGTTCTCTTACTTGTGCAAGAAAGTCTCCAGAACAGTGGTAAGAAGAAATTGCTGCCTTCCTAATTCTGTTAAACTATTACTGCTTAGTATTGTTGAATTCTACCTCTGTTAAATAGGTAAATTACATGCTATTATTTTTTTAGAAAGATATGAAACTGAAAAATACTTCAGGAAATGATACATTGGCCGAACTAACTTTGGTTTGATACTCAGTTTTGTGACTATTGTCTTGTTATTTGTGTTGATATGAGAAATTTGTAGTGGGAGGTTTTCTTCTACATTATAAGTGAAGATTTCATTAAGCTTAAGGTAGACTAGGCTGTCTTTCTTTCCCCCGACTGCTCTGTGAGCCATGTATAGTACAGAAAGTATCCTAAGTTCTTCTAATGTGTGATCAGAAATTTGGTAACGTACTTTCAGATTGTGGTCTCTTTTCCTATAATGATGTGCCCATGCCTGCTAGTGCAGTGAGGCCGTGTACAAAGGACTGCATACAGACACATGTTTTTTTCCAGGTAATGAATACAACTCTAGGCACTAATACAGGCAAGTAAAGTTTAAGATCTTAAAAAAAGGGCACATACTCATACCAATTCAAGCGTATGCAGGCCAAAAAATAAAAATATGGGAAAGAAACTCTTGTCATTTTAAATGCAGATTGCAAAAAATAGCTTTAATGTTTTTTTACTTTGCTTTATGTCCACAGTTGAGAAATCAAACCATATGGTTCCAAACATGTATATTAAACATACATATGTTTACTGACCTAGATTTTTCTCATTGCCACTCCCACCTTCATTGTATGTGCATCTTCTTGTCTGGTCAAATGGCCATTATAGTCTTTGAGAATGGGGTTATTGTTCAGCCAGACTGGAGGAATGAAGGCCCAAGTCACATAAGAAGTTAGGATCTCCAGTGTGTTTTGAAAGCAAGTAATATTTGTCATTAACATCTTGTGCAAAGCCTTTTTCTGGGAGTCAGAAGATACAGGGACAGAGCATTAGGTGTTTGAGGTAACCCAGTGGTAGAACCAGATGTTTTCCAAAGAAGGTATCCAAATGGCTTGGTAACATAAAGAAAACCTTGTCATTTCAGAATTTTTGAGTTGGGTATCTAAAATTGGTTCATAGTATCCTCTCTACCTGGCACAGTAAAACAGTGAGGCATCAAAGAATAATTCCAGTTTGGATCAATAAAACATTTGGAGAAAGGACTGCAGTGGCATCTGTACTTTTTTAGTGTTAAGATAAAAATGTAGCTGAATTGTATTTGCAAACCTATATAAAGAATAAGAGGAAAAAATAAAAAATTAAGCGCAGCAAGAAGACATTACACCACATCAGGGAGCCTGTTCTTGTATTTACACAGAGCATTTCTAGATTACCAGGGAAAGTAAACTTGGATATTTTGTTTCTGTCTAGTACTGACATAATGTTCTGTATTTTTCATCTTTCACACTAACACTGTTTTACAGATGTCATTGGTCTGTCTGTATGCCTGGATTACTGAAGCCAGCACTTAACTAAAATATAACTATTTAATTATACCTACTGTGTACGTGAATTTTGAAAAGTTCCTTTCTTCCTGAGTATTTTCTTAACAGTGTTTACCACATAGACCATGCTCTTCCCATCACATTTTTAAAACTTGCCTTATAAGAGTGGCAGGATTAATCTATCCATTGTACAGAGTTATTTGGCTCAAAATTAGTCATTTTATTAAGAAGTTGAGGTTCTAGCTATACTCCTCTAGTTGAATTCAGTTTAACATATTTTTTGTCAACACCATGCTTAATATGGCTTCTTTTTTGTTTTCTCTCACCTAGAATCTTTTATGGAAGTTGATGCAGATTTCCATGCTAGAATACCATTGGTGGTGTGCAGAGAAAAGCAAAGGTCTTGGTTGTCACTTTGTGTGTTCTAATAGTATATAGCAATGTAAATTATATGTACCAACATCTGAAAAGTGACGTTTTTTTACTAAATTATTACAGTTCCATGGATCTTGAAACACAAACTAACACTCATGGGCAAGTCATTCCTAGCCTAGAATAAGAGGGTAAGGGTTGTTCTGTCCTCAGCGGTGTATTTCCCAACCCTTTCAACCATTATGGCTTCCAGCATGTACCCTTACCCTTCCATTTGGATTAACTACTTAAGCAGAAACTTTCCTTCCTTATAGGTAATGTAGATAACATATTAAATTACGGATTTCTGTAGGGGCAGGATCAGCTTGCTTAGCTTCACTAGTATTTTGAGAACAAGTAAAATACATTTTATTTTGCCCATTTAATGGATATCACTTAAGATTCATGAAACATTTTATAAACAACTACTGATGCAGAAATATTACTAGTTATTTGCTGCTACCTTAATCTTTCACTATTTGAAAATATTTATTGTGCTGTGGAAACAGCACAGAAGCTATTTTCTGATGGGTGTGGTATAGGAAGATGTTTTTGATTCATGAAGGAAATCAGAACTGTAACTTTTTTTAGTTCAGTGAATGAATGTAATTAGAAACACATTCTAACACGTAAATTCTAACTGCATTTGAAAACACTTTTATAGAAAATTATAATGCATATATTTCTGACCTAGCCGTAAATGAAATTGGTTTTCCACGCTTCTTTTAGTGTTGATACAGTGTCTCTGAGAGGCTGTTAAGTCTTTCTTTACAGCCTCCATCTACACTGTTTTGTGAGATGTTATCTGATTTATGGCTGTTCTTACAAAACCTCCATGATCTTTTATTTGTTTCTTTTTGGGTTTTAGTGGCCTTATTTGTAAAGTGAGTGCAGGGAATGAGAGTGCTTGGCTGACAACAAACCATTTGGCTACACTTGGAAAACTGGAACCTAGTGTAGTACATTTAGTGATAGCCTTCAGGTACTGGGCAAAGGTAGGAATCATTTGTACTCATCCATCTGTGAATAAACATTGCATGAACATTGATATTATGCTGGTGAGACTAGAGGTATGGTTTAGAAAACAGTTGTTGAAACTGTTTTTAGAAAAAGAGTTGAAAAAAGTATACTTCAGTTTTTTATAAATTGTAAATTTTATAAATTACTTAACTATCATTTCTGTGTTATAACATTCCACTAAATTTCAAAAGTGGGATTTTAAGCTTCAGACAGTGGCATGCAGACTCTAAGTATCCTTCTCTGTTACCAAAAAAGTCAGAAGAATGTATATGAAATAAAATTACCAGTTTTCCATAAACTTAATCCATCATGAAAAAAATAAAGGAAAAATCTGCTTGTTTCCATACATAAACAAAAAATTTCTTGTGAAAGAAAATGATGGAAGAAAATTATTAAAAAACTTTTGACTTGGATTATATCTATGTAAAATGAGTCATCGTTTTTGCAAACGTGCTGTAAGCTGTCTGTTTTACCAGTCAGCATCCTATGGCTCTTACACTGAAAATATTATAGTAATAACATGACTTCAGAAAAAACGCAGGCCTTGAGAACAAAGTCCATCTCGTAAGAACTCACAGATGTCTGTGTTTCTGTCAGTATTTAATGTGTCAGACTTCTGAATAGTAATTGAAAGAATATTTTTCATGGTAACCACTTGAAACCATAATGACTGCACAATTTTTTTTTACAGCTGTGCTGTCTTGATCATCCTGAAGAGGGAGGCTTGTCACCTCATGTGTTCGCTTTAATGGTTATTTTTTTTCTACAACAAAGGAAAGAGCCTTTTCTACCTGTCTATTTGGGATCATGGGTATGTGTATTAATACACTGAATAGTGTGAATGAGAGGACCAGTCACTTTTAGTGGCATGTAACCTGTCAGCTTCTGAGCAAGCCATAAGTCAGCCATTTCTGCAGAAATTCAGAAAGAATGTGAATTCAGACAAACTACACCTAACCTTTGTATGCTTGACTGTAAGGATGCAATTAACAATCCTAGTCATTAAGTGCTCTGTTGCCCATTTTGTGAGTAAGGAGAGCTGGGCATTGAATAATACACTTAATAACAATCTGCTTTCTCATTTCTTCAGCCTTTCTTCCAGACTCTTGACAACTCTGAATTCACATAACTACATCCCAAAACAATGCCTTGGATTTTGATATCTAACTCTTCAAAACGTAGACCACAGTTGGGGAGCACGCTGGTGTGATATCCGCCTGAGGGATCAAACTAGGGGTTTAGAGTATATATGTCTTGGGTTTAGAAGTTGAAATGCATCTTAGTATCAGGAGTTGTATTATGGACTCAAATCCAGAATCCATTTCTCCAGGACACCATGTGGGTGTTACATTCATGGCACCCGTTTTTGTTCTTACAGTCACCTATTATATTTAGTGTGCATCTTCCAGTTTGCATAACCAGTTACATGGGACTTGCAGGTAACAGTTTCCTTCAGTACATGACTGACTCATTCCCAAAGCCTCTCCATTTTCTGGACTGAATGAGAGAAAAATCCTATAGTATATGGCCATATAATTAAAAAAAAAATGTATTTATGCTTGTGTAAGGTGCAAAGACAAGGTTCTGTGGCTTATGGATACCCTTCTAAAAGCACTGAACTCTTGAGAGCTTTTTGTAGAGAAGTGTAGGAAGAAGAGAGGAGCAGACTGGGATATATTCTAGGCCTGGAATGGCTATTTTTGAACTTTGTTCTATTTTAATTTGGCTTACTACCATGGAGAAGTAAGATTTAAAGTTCACGTGATGTTTAGCTGTATGTTTCTTTTTCTGTTTCCTTTAGATTGCAGGATTCTCATTAAACAAATTAACTAATTTTCATCTGAGAGAAGTTGAGAATGATGCTGTGGTTTGGGAGCATAACCCCATTGATGATTCTGGTTTGCCACAAGAAACTTCCCCTAGAAGGGGCAAGGTCTGAACAGTTTAATTTACTTCTGTAGTAGTCTAGCAGTCATTGCTGTTCTCAAAAAAAGAACTATCTTCTATTTTTGTTTTGTGCTTATGTTGCAAAACCAGGGGCTGAACTAAGAGACTTGCTTGATACAAGATTTCCTATGTTTACCTCTTGGTGCCAAGAAGCTAGCGGGAAACCAGGTTTATTTCAAACTCTTTGACAAGACCTTGGGTTTTAATCTGTTAGGGGAGAATATAGTTTATAGAGTTGAAGTGATTTTATCTCAGGATTAGGTTAGGCATATGAAAAATATTTCCTCTTAGCTTTGAACTGTTCTCACTTTGCAAGAAACAATATCATTATATGATTGCATGTTATGACAGTTAACAATACAGTTTAGGCTTTGCTTAAAAATAGGCTATATAATCCATTATGTGCAATTAGATGTGATATTTTCTTTGAAATTTATAAATTATGGCATAAACAATTAATTAAGCAATTATTATTAGTTATTGATGCTATTCTTTACCATTGCTGCAGTCTTTCATTTTTAAGTTTTATAAAGTGAGTTTATCTCTTCCAATTTTTTAACAGCAGCTTTTATTGCAAATGCAGGAGTACAGAAGCAACTATAAATTTTGCAATATTACATTACAAATGAAATACAAGGTAGTGTAACAGCTAAACACCTGTGCATTAAATATTATTTAAGCTTTTCTTCTGTTATTGACAGGTTCCCTTAGTATTTGATTCAGGACAGCAGTGCTCAGCACCTGCTGGTCAGCTCTGGGTGGAACTGCTTCGTTTCTATGCCTTGGAGTTCAATATGTCTGATTTGGTTATTAGCATACGACTGAAAGAAAGACTGTCTCGTGAATCAAAGGACTGGCCTAAAAAGCGCATTGCTGTGGAAGGTATACATGTATTTATATATCTATATCTATCAACAAACTTCAAAGAACTCTTATTTTAATTTTCTAGAGTACTGTCTTGTCTATTGACATTGTGTGTAATAACTTAGAATTTTTCAATATTAGACTGTGATTCCCAACAATATAGTAGAATATGTTTTGAAAAAAAAAAAAATTTAAGTAATATTTCTCTTGAGAATTTTTTTCCATGTTATCAAAAGTAATTAAGTGGACTTAAAAATTGTCTTCAGCACAACTGACAGATCTTAAGTCCCTACACAATATTTTAGAGTAACTTACAGTAGTATATTCAAATTTTGTAAGGATGTAAATGCATTCTTTTTTAAAAAAAAAAAAGTTAACTCCTGTACTGCTGGCTTACTTCTTTCTACTAGATCCATATTCAGTCAAAAGGAACGTAGCAAGAACTCTGAGCAGTCAGCTAGTATATGAGTATATTCTTCACTGCCTGAGAGCAACTTACAAGTATTTTGCCTTGCCTCACAAAAGAAGTGCAAATTTGAGCAAAAAATCCTCTCCAAATGCCAGTGAGGAGAAATCCCTAGTGCTGGACTATGGAAAAGATGCTATAAAGCATGAAAATTCTGAGTTGCAAAAGTTGGATGATAGAACAAGCACAACAGTAGTGGAAGTCTGCACAACAGAGACTCGAGGTACGCCCCAGGTGCATAGAATTGATCCTTCAAAACTGTGTGATGGCTCAGAAAGCTTCACAGAAGAAGAACTGGCTGATGATACAGGTCATTTGGGAATTGCCCATGAAGATTCAGACTGTATAATTGAGGAAGTTATTTCTGGAGATAATGAGGATTCTAAACCAAGTTGTGAAGAGACAGAGAGTGGAAATGAAGAGGAAGAAGAGGAGGAAGAGGAAGAACATGAACAACAAATAAGAAGATGGAATAATATCTTGACTACAGAGCAGGGAATAGATGAAGACAGTGATAGTGGAGATCTCCCTGTTACAGTGAATGAGCATGATATAGAGACATGCAGTGCTTCAGACTTAGAAGGTTTTCAAAATGCTTTACTTACAGAGAGTGATGAGTTTGGCTTAGAGTGCAGTGGTATAATTGATGACAAGATTGACATTGATGAGGAGAGCACTGAAGGTACTGATGAATTGGTTGAATCCCCCAAAAAATTCATATGTTCAGCACAGAGCCAAATATCCCAAATTATTAACTCAGATGAGGAGGAAGAAGAGGAGGAAGAACCAAGCCTTCTCAACCAGAGAGAGTGTGGTGGTGTCATAAGAGCTGGAGATGAACTAGATAACACATATATTGGATCGGGAGATGACGATGCACTGTCAGAGGAAGAAGATTTTTCCATCCCAAATAAATATAAGAACAAACATTTTGAAGAAAATTTGGATGAACCTCTGGGGATCAATTTGAGTCAAGAAGATCTTACTGAGAAGGGAAGCCTTTCTGAAGAGAACAGAACAATAGAACAGTGTTCAGAATCAGAACTTTTTTATGAATTCAGTAAAACAGCTTTTACAAAGGGCAAGGTAAGCAAGCTGTATCAGAACATATACATATTGCTTATGTTCTGTTATCAGTTTTATGAAAATGTTGCTCAAATTCATTCAAGTATTACAGTTTCTAAAACCAATCTTGCTTTCTGCTCATGCAGTCTCCTACAATAGTCTGTAGCTTGTGCAAACGGGAAGGTCATTTAAAGAGGGACTGTCCAGAAGACTTCAAGAAAATTGAGCTTGACCCACTTCCAGTGCTGACACACAAATTTTCAGTTATTCTAGATCAAGTTTGTGTCCAATGTTACCGTAAGTATTTTCCTTCAACTGTCGTTGCATGGTAGAAAAATAAATTGCAAAAAGTAATGAAATAACTACAGGGTAATGGTGTTATAAAGGGGGCTGGGTTATTTGCCACACTGCATCCAACCTCTGTGGATACCATTCTAAGATTTGTAAGGGCTTTAATAGGACTGCCGAGTAGTTTGTATCTGGAGAGGTACAAAATGTTCAGGTTTATCTTCCACACACTGGCTGTCTGCTACCTCATTTAGGCATCTTAATGTAATTTCTAACAGTTTAATTTTGGGTGGGTTTTTTGACGGATATTACATTTCTATCTACTATTGGCTACTGTTCCTTAACTTGTGGGTTTTAGTAAACAAAGACACCAGTGTTCTAGCAAAAATGGAGTCAAAATACTGTTTTGTAACACTTCTCCACTTTTGTTCTTTTCAGAGTGACCCAACTTTCCTCCTCTATCTCTTGTCATTTCTGACCAGACAAAATGCATTATTTATGTAATTAATGCTTTTCTTTGAACAGGTATTTCTCTTCTACTTCATCCTTGCTTTCCTTCCTTCACATGTGAATCTTCTCTTGCTTTTTCTCTCCCTGCTGTAAACCCTTCACTTTTTTCATTTGAATCTTTGCTGTTAACTCTTCCTGCAGATCAATTTGCCTAAATTGTTGTCTTTTTTTTTTTTTTTTAAGATGATTTTGCTCCAAATATTGTAGAGGATCAGGCTCGGGAACATATAAGACAAAACTTGGAAAACTTCATTAGGCAGGATTTCCCAGGTATTTAAGCAGCTCTAGCTTTATTGTGTTTGTACCTGAATGTCTTCCAAGAAAACATATCATATCAGCATAATAAACACTTCAGTTTTGAACATTTAACCTGTATTATTGCTCAGCATCGCTAGACTTAATTACATTAATTTCTGATTTAAGTGTCTTAAGACTTTGCTTTAAGTCTTTTTTGACTTGGTCATATATACAACACATCAATAGGGAGGAACAATGAAAAAAAAATAAGTTAAAGATAAAACAATCAAAACAGTAGTGGAACAGTTTTATAATTGTTATTTTAGCCTTATTCATGAGCCAGACTTCTTGTTGTTGTATCAGCTCTTACAAACAACCACCTTTTTGCAGCCCTTTCTACTGAAACTTACTGGGTCTTGAATATTTTAAAATACAGGCACAACATCTGACCTATTTGCAGAACGTAGTTATCTGATTGTTCGTTTGTTTCCAGAGTTCTTACTGTAACACCTGGACTTCAGTTCATAGTCTTTTAAAATTAGCAAGATTTTTTGGCTGGAGCCCGATAATGTTGACAGATACATTCCTTATCCTGAAAATCTCTGTAGAAAGCAGTGTTACCTTTTTTATCAGATTTCAGCTGGGAACGGGGTGCTGATGATTTAATTATTGGAAAACCTGGTTTTCGATCTGTCAGACTGATTATTTGAACCAATAAAAGTAAAAATTCTTTCCTTATCTGCAAAGTTGATAAGAGGATAAGTTTTGTTCTAACATAGAAAGATAGTAATGTTTTCATGCCTGTATTAAAAGACACTGTATTAAAAGTCGCGCAGTGGTTTGAAGCTGTATAAAATTTGAGATTCTATGTTGATATGTGGTTATAACCCATCACATCTCTTACAGGAACCAAGCTGAATTTGTTTGGCTCCTCAAAAAATGGTTTTGGCTTCAAAGAAAGTGACCTTGATATCTGTATGACAGTGGATGGACTGGAAACTGCTGAGGTAGCTTGAAAATATTTTTTTTTTCAAATAAATATAAGATTTCATGGTTATGTAGTATATAGAGTGTAACAAATGTACTATTTTATAACAGCTTTTCAGATTAGCAGAAAACAAATAGGTGCCACAAAAGCACATAATTTTAGGGGGTTTTGCTGTTGGTGTAGGCATGAGCTTAAAAACTGTTCTCAGTAGTCAGTCTTCTTCTGACTTCTGCACTGCCATTACTTGTAGCATTAGCTGTGCAGATAATGACATGCTTTGTAACATAAACAACTAGGAGTGGGAGACAGTGGAAAGGGACATCAGTCTCCTTTCATGCCTAATACAAACTTTTTAAAAGCCTATATAAAGATACTATCTAGTGCTGTCTAGTTGTACAAGTGCTATTTTGAAACAATTTCTGGTAGTCACATAATTCAGTATAATATGAAACTCTCAATTATACAGCTTTAAGCTTAATGCTAAGTAATAAAAGTTTGCCTAAAATACTTGCAGCAGATACAACTTTCAACTTTTTTTCTTTATGTCTTAGGGACTGGACTGCATCAGAATCATTGAAGATTTAGCAAAAGTTCTCAAGAAACAGCCAGGTAACTTTCTTGAAAATTAAAATGGTTCTGTTTGTGGCTTCGGTTGCTGTGGTGAGAATGTTCTGGGGCACTGTAAAAGAAAATCATTAAGACAAAATTATATTGAAGAGCTTAATGTTAGTAAGAGCGAGGTTATATATTGTGAACATTTGGATTTATTTTTGTTTGCATATGTAGGTCTGTAGGGTTATAATGTTATAGGACCACATCTGAATTGGATAGATTGTATATTTATAACTTACATCATAAGAACAAACCTTAAGTTAAAGCTCAAGGCTTTCAGTTAGTAGTTAGGTATATTCAGTGCATAATAAGTTAATAGTAAAAGGTAGACTGATACAAGTTTGCAATGAGAAAGAATGATTTTATAGTGCTTGTTTTGGTATATCTCACATGAATTTAATATAATTGGAGTGAACTATCAATGTTCTCTTAAGCTTACTTTTCTATAACATTTAGACTGATCTTTGTTTTATTAGGGGGCTAAATGTATATTTGTATATATTATATTTAGCAGATTCATTATGTTTGACAAATGTGTAAAATATTAAAACATGACTGAAGTACCATTTTGGTATCAACTAAGGTTTTATTTTGTGGCCTTTTATTAGTTTGCAGTTATTTATAAAGCATTTGATACCGTTACGACTGTATTGCAGTCATTCAGTAATTAAACATTTCATCCTAGGTTTAAGAAATGTCTTGCCTATAACAACTGCTAAAGTCCCAATTGTCAAATTTTTCCATGTCAGAAGTGGTCTTGAAGTAGACATCAGTTTATATAATACTCTGGTAAGGTTTTAATGTCCTTTTTTAATTTATTTTTTTTTTTAACAGAATAATGTGGGTCTACTTCTTGAGATTTAAATGATTGTTTTGTTGAGGTTCAGTAATCCACTGTTTCCAATTATCTATTGCAGTTTTAGATTTCCAAACAGACTTTTTTTTTTGTTTGTTTGACCATGAGTGGAGTCAGTTGCACAGTTGCAATTTTAGAGTTGTCACTTCCCTAAGAAAATATATTAGTTCTTTAGTAATAGTAAGAATCATTTAGGTGTTTAAGTCTTTCTGTAAATGAGAAGACAAAATAATGTAACTTCAGCTTTCCTACACTCCACTTCCCATCATGGCCTTTTCTTAGCCTCAAGATCTGGAATAGTGATTTTGAGCCCAACTTGACTGAATTGGAACATGTGTTAGAATTTACAAAAAAACACAAGTCCTTGGACAAATATTTTAAAAACAAGTTTTGGGGTTTTTTTCAACATCTCTGAACTTGAAAATCCAGCTCCTTGTAACATCAAAGGAAAGTAAGTTTTAGAGCCAAGTATTAAACTTTCTGAAGTTTTTGTATTAGCTCAAGTTGAGTCTTGAGAAAGATACCTCAACGACTACGTAAGTCTGAAAGTTTTCTTGTTGAAGTTATGTATCCATACGGGATGTTGATAGCTCCCACATTCAGAGATTAGTGGATAGTTGACAGCTCTCACATTTCTGGGCTGAAATCTCTTAGTTTAAGAACTTACATTCTACCAAATATTTTGAAAATGCAGTAGTAGATTAATGCTTCCCTTTCTGAAGTACTGTTATGTGAATGCTGCTTTGTACCACTTCTGCACAGATTGAGAATGTTAAGGTTTTTAACAGAGCAGGTAATAACCTCATTGTCAAATGCTGCCTTTCTCAATATACATTTCTCCTATGCGGGGCTTCACATCTGCATTTCTTGAGCACACAACTTAAGATTTTTTTGATTTTCATGTTTTCAGGTTATTAATTTCTTCAGAGCTCCTGTATTTTCTATATGACTTTCTTATTTTTATAGGCCCTGCATAACACAAGGCTCCTGTCATCATATGCAGCCATTGATCCTAGGGTAAAATATCTGTGTTACACAATGAAAGTCTTTACGAAGGTAAGTATAATTCAGACATTCTAGAAGCAGTAGTGCCTGCAGCAAGACATGACAACCCTAAAAGATTGAAATCATGTTTCTTTTTCTAGATATGTGACATTGGAGATGCATCTCGAGGTAGCCTTTCTTCTTATGCATATACTCTTATGGTGCTTTATTTTCTTCAACAGAGAAACCCACCTGTCATCCCTGTTCTTCAAGAGGTACAGTATGTCAAGAAAGAAATATGTATCTGTACACAGTATTAACCAGAAGAATGTCAGTGTTGAATCTGAATGGCTCTTCTAATGAGTTCAATATTATGCTTTCAGATCTACAAAGAACCAAAAAAGCCTGAAATTCTAGTTGATGGCTGGAACGTTTATTTCTTTGATAAGATAGAAGAGTTGGTGAGTAAATCGGGTTAATTTGAAATGATGTTACCTGTAGCTTTACAAATAAAAAAGAATTCCTTTAAAGAAACATTGTCCTCAAATATGGTGCTTGACTATAGAAATGGAAGTGGAGTAGTTGTTGCTTTGAAAATCTCAATCCCATGCTGTAAAGATTTAAGAATATGGTTGGTTAAGTTCTGAAAACTATGAAAAAATATAGATTAAAAATTATTTTAAGTTGTTAATGTTGATTAATTGCTCTGTATGTCACATTACTGGGTGGCAATAACTCCTACAAATAACAGCTGCATATCTAGTCATAGCTGGTTAATCCTGTTGAATAATTTTGTGTTAAATACGCATGTAAAGTGAATTAATGAATTATTTTTTTTATAACAGACAAAACCTAATGTTAGAAGTTTTATTAAATCTCTGCTTTTGTTTTTAATATTTTTTAAAATCCACCGTTTTAAAATCCAGTATTGGATTGCTAATACTAATTATGAAAGGAAGGGAAGTATTCTGGTGTAACTCACTTGTGTTTGTTTATAAGATAAGACTTAAATGGTTTGAGTTTCCAAGTTAAGAAAATTACTTTGCTTAATGTAAGTACTGGAAGTAAAAATATTTCTGTCATTTTCAGCCAGTTCTTTGGCCAGACTGTGGCAAAAACACTGAAACTGTTGGGCAGCTGTGGCTGGGACTTCTCCGTTTCTACACAGAAGAATTTGATTTCAAAGAGCATGTCATATGCATTAGGAGAAAAAATCTGCTTACAACTTTCAAGAAGCAGTGGACCTCCAAATACATTGTAATTGAAGGTAAAAGCGCATGAATTACTTGAATATGTGGAATTTCTTTAATGTCCACGTGAAAAATTTGGTCTTTCCACAAGGCTTATTTATTTTTTTATTACTAGATTATAAATTAGTTTTGCTCATTTTTTTAAGTCTTCGTGAACTTCTCATTGCCTTTTAGTAGTGCTAAAAATTAGGGCTTTTTTTCTCTACTGAAAGGAAGCTGCAAAGCAGACTTCACACTTTTCATGATGACAGTAACAGAAAAATAGATTTAATCAAATCCTTTGGAAAAGAAATTAGCTGTAATGCAATTGAGGTTTTCTCACAAGTACTAAGTTTAGCTTAGTACATGTTTACATGACCAATTTAACCCTATGTATGATTACACTGCTAAGTCATGCCATGTTCTCTATCAAGAAAATGTAGTGACCTATTTTAGACTGGCCCATATGACTTTCATGGAAAGAATTTAACACATTTAACTTGCTCTTTTACAGTACTTCATTTAGTTCAGAGCTGGACAGCCGGATCCTTTGTCATGGAGTTAAATTATTTTTTTTAATAAATTTGCAAATGGTTAAATTTCTGTATATTAATTTTGCATTGGGAATAGCTGCCTTGGGTTGTTCATGTGTATGTATGTATACATTGCTGATCTTGCCCTGGACTAAACTAATGCCTGTAATTCTCTTTGTACAGACCCCTTTGATTTGAACCACAATCTCGGAGCTGGATTGTCAAGAAAAAGTAAGTCTCCTGTTAACAAATTTGGGTACAGAGTGGAGATCTTGTCTTAGGTGTTATTTTATTGGCTTGTTTGATGTTTCGATGATGTTTTCTCTCTTTTTTTTGTTTCCTTCACAGTGACAAATTTTATAATGAAGGCTTTTATCAATGGCAGAAGGGTATTTGGTACCCCTATAAAAATATTTCCTAAAGAATATCCATCAAAAATGGTAAGTTGCTTCTAAGAGCAGTGTGTGCATGCTCTTGGGTGTGTAACTTACCACCTGCAGGAGTATGGTTACATTCTCTTTAAGCCCTTCTCTCTTAAATTCCAACAGTACTCTAAAAATCCTTATGGAAGTTATTACTGAGTACTGTTTTCATGTTGTTTGCATGTAAAATGTGTTGGCCTGCAGAATACTAATCAAGTCAGAGTTTCATTGTACAGGCTTACATATTTTAGTTCCTATCAAAACCAGCTTACCATTTCTTAAAACTGCAGTTTTAAAAAAGAGATGGTCAGTAGGCTGTCTGAAAAGAAGAGGCCCAGTGGCCAGTTAATCTCATCAGGTCTTTCAGGAGTGCAGCGACACACACCAGGTTTATTCTTTGCTGTAACTCCTGCTGTTTAACACTTGTTTATCTGTCTTGATTCTCAAGCGTATGGATTTTCATTTTAAATGCATGATTTCTTCTTCAGGAGTACTTTTTTGATCCAGAGGTACTAACAGAAGGAGAATTGGCACCAAATGATAGATGCTGCAGAATTTGTGGCAAAATTGGCCATTTCATGAAAGATTGTCCTATGAGAAGAAAGTAAGTATAGTTTTGGCATCTGTGTGGAACTTTTCCTTAGATTTGTTCAGAAGAAAGATTAGGATAGTAATGCTAAAGCAAAACTTGTACATGCTGCAGATTATTTCATTTACTGTTGAAATTAAAATTTATCAATACCGATTTTGGCAGTGGTAGATGGTGTTGGTTTTTTAAATTTTTGTTCTGTGTTGAGTCACTACTTAACTTTTTGCCAGCATCATCTGTAGTGTTTTTTAACCGAATCTTTTCACAGAAGGCTGCAAAACTACTTAGCTTAAGGTGATAATGCTGACTCTGCACTTCATTATATAGGAAAGCAGTAGTCAAAGAGAATCTAAATGCAGAGCTGAATAGCTGTGTGCTGTGAAAAGCACTCAGGAAAGCATTTTACATATTTTCATTTAATAGCTTCTACTTCTAGAATCCTACTGCCCCAGCAAGACACATTTTTGTCATGTTCACAGAATCATGCAATTCATGTCAAAAAGCAAGTCAAGAATGTCACAGCATTATTTTTCTTAAGCACACAGATAGGAGAACAATGTCCTGGTTTACATCCAAGAGAAGGTGTCCTGATCCTGAGTAACCAGATGTCCAAAATTCAGCACCTATGTTCTTGCAACAAATGAATGCTAAACTGATCTTCCTGCTCTTCATCTTATGGACTGTTGTTGTGGTTTGAGCCCAGGGGGCAAATGAGCACCATGCAGCCACTTGCTTCCCCCTTCCCCCTCAGGAATGGGAAGGAGGAAATAAAGCAAGAGGATCATGAATTGGGATAAGGACAGGGAGGTGTGGTTCACCCATTATGGTCATGGGCAAAAGACAGACTTGTTAGGGGAAGAAAAAGAACATCAATTTAATTTAAACACCAACAACAACACTTAACAAACAGAGAAGGACAGTAAGAAGTATAACTACATCTTCAAAACACCTCCCCCCACCCCTCACGTCTTCCCAGGCTCAGCTTTGCTCCCTATTTCTCTATGTCCTCCCCTCCACTGACACAGGTGGGGCAGGGAACGTGGGTTGCAGTCAGTCCTTCACATGTTGTTTCCAATGCTTCTTCTTCCTCAGGGGAAGAACTCCTCACACTCCTCCCCTTCTCCAGTGTGGGGTCCCTTTCATGGGAAACAGTCCCCCATGAACTTTCTCTGACACGAGTCCCTCTCAGAGGCTGCAGCTCTTCACAAACTGCTCCAGCATGGGTCCCTCCCATGGGCTGCAACTCTTCCCAAGCTGCTCTGGCGTGGGTCCCTCCCATGTGTTGCCGTCCTCCCAGTTCTGAACTACAACAGCAGGGACTTCTTCCCAGAGTCCCAGCCTTCTTCAGGTGCAGCCACCTGCTCTGGCATGGGGTCCTCCACAGGCTGCAGGTTGGCATCTGCTCCACCATGGACCTCCATGGGCTGCAGGGGGACAGCCCTGCCCTCTCATCAAGGGCTGCAGGGGAGTCTCTGCTCCAGCACACCTCCCTCCTTCTTCCTCTTCCTCCTTCCTTTCACTGACCTCGGTGTTTGCAGATGTATCTCTTTTACAACTCCCCCTCACAACTCACACTCCTCCCACCAGGTTTCCCTTAAATACGTTATTGGTGAGGTGCAGCCACAACCACTAATTGTCTCGGCCCTGGCCAGAGGCGGGTCTGACTTAGAGCCCGGTTAGCTTTGAGAATCTTCTCGCAGGGGGCCACCACTGTAGCCTCCTCCCGTGTTACCAAAACCTGCACCACACACACAAATTCAACATAACTATCTAAACTTAAAACTGATTAATTTATTTTTTCCTAGTTAAGACAAAACTCTTTAAAGACTTCATGTCTATAAAATAGTGAAAATCAGCAAATACAATTTTAAGAGGACAAAATCTTGAAAGCTTTTGTGCCAACTTGTAAGGTGAATGGAAAAATCTAACCTTTGTTTAGAGTCTGTCTATGTTAAAAGCAGTAATTAAAAATCACCTGCACTCATAAGTAGCTTTCTAACTGCTTACATTGGATTGGATGAAGTAGCCTTTCTGCCACACATTAGAGAATTTTGAACTTATAATGTTGAGACTGTTAATTTGGGAATTTATTCAACTTTGGCAAACGCAAATACAGTAGCTGAAGATAATTTGAAAATAAAGAATGCTGCAGGTGGTGTGAAGATCTTCTCAGTGTCTAAACTGCTGTCTCAGATGCAATGGATTTTTAATCCTTCAACCTGGAGTGAAACCCAGTTTATTGCACATATGCAGCTATGTTCTATACAACTTTAGAGTGAAAGTCAGTGGGTTTTTGCATCTAAGAACATAAACGCCTTACTGGGTAAGACCGCTGATACATTTAAGTCCTCTGTTGAGCCACTGCAATGGGATATGCTGTCTATGAAGGGCACAGTAGTTGGCTGTTTTCTGTATTCCCATGTATTCCCCTGCATCTGCAGTTGCTGTGTAAGAAATGTTAGAGCACATACCTGCCCTGGTCTGGTGGTACTCATTAGTGGACTGGAGTTGTTTATGAATTTGTCCTTTTTGTTTGTTTGTTTGTTTTCTGAACCTGATTCTCCTGTTTTCCTTAATGGTTTTCTATGGCAGCCAGTTCCATAAGTATGCTAACTGATGTGTAAAGAGGTACTTTCTTTCATCTGTTTAAAGCCCACCTCATTTTAGCTTCATAAGCATTCCAGAGGTGTAGCCTTGTAGGATTTAGTTAGTAATGATACTGCCTTGATGATTTTGTAAGCCATGACTGTGTTCACCCTCTAGCTTCTCTGAGGGTAGGAAAGTCTTGGCCTTTTTACTGTCCCTTCCTTAAGTGCTTGCTCTCTTCATCACCTCAGCTGCCTTTCTCTTTCCCTTCTCTAACTGTACTACTTCCTTAAAATATTGAGACCAGACCAGTACACAGTACTCAGATGTAGGCACACCATGGTTTTATGGAGCAACAAAATTATGTCTGCTGTCCTGTTCTTAGTGTTTTATCCATCCTACCACTACACTCCCTGATAAAGAGGAGTCCAAATACAGACCCGTGAGGGACACCACTCGTCACTGGTCTCCACTTAGACATTGAGCCGTTGACCACAACTCTTTGAGTGTGACCATCCAGCCAGTTCCTTAACCACCAAGTGGTCCATCCATCAAATCCATATCTCTCCAGAGACAAGGATGTCATGTAAGACAATATCAGATGCTTTTCACAAGTCCAGGTAGATGAAGTCAGTTGCTCTTCCTTTATCTACCAATGCTGTAACCCTGTTGTAGAAGGCCACCAAGTTTGTCAGGAACAATTTGCCATTAGTGAAGGCATGTTGGCTGTCACCAATCACCCCTCTGTTTTCTATGTGCCTTAGTACAGTTCCCAGGAGGATCCACTCCATGATTTTGCCAGGCTCAGAGGTGAGACTGACTGGCCTGTGGTTCCCCAGGTCTTCCTTTTTTCCCTTTTTAAAAAAAGGGAAGCTCACCTTGAAGGTTATCTGCCATTCTTTAACTCACTTGTTCAGTTTTGTGAGGTGTTTTTAAGTTGCTTGCCATTAGCACTGCATCTGACTGACCAAATGAGCCTACTATTACCTTCAGACTTGGAGATTTCACTGATGTCTCCTTCTCCAGGTTATATATATATATTTCATATATATATAAAGAAGTTAGCTAAAACAAGTCTGGCAGTGGGAGCTCTTTCTCCACTGCTAGATCTTTAAGTCACGTATAATGTTAGAAGCTTCTCCCAGTAGAGCAGACTTTTAGAAATACTGTGAATATACAGTTTCAGAAGGAAGGGAGTTCTGATTTAACTGTACAATTGTACAGTTGCTCAGTGTTTCTCTTCTTGCACTGTCTTGGCAACTCTAGCAACCAGATCTCCTGTTGTGTTTAAATATTTGTGAGATATAATTATTAGAATTCAGGGCTGTTTTGTAATCAGTTATAAAGTTAAATTATTAAATATATGTTACGTTATTGTAGCACTGTTTGGTAGCAGAGTCAAAGGAAAATGTACGTTAATTCACTTTATTTAGCCCACTGAAGAAATACTGAAATACATCTATTGTCTGTAGAGAGCACTTGGTTTTGTTTGGGTTATTTTTTTTTTTACTCTGAGTATGTATGTAAGGCCTATGAACTCTGCAGCATTTTTCTGCTCCTGCAGAATAAGACGGCATCATGATTACGAAGATACTAAAACCCAGAGGTACACAGAAAACAAGGAGAAAAGAAGCAAAGAGGACAAAGAAGCTCAGAATAAAACAACAGAAAAGGAGAGCTCAATCAAGGAGGGCAAGTTGCATCTAGGTACACCTCAGAAGAGGAAACCAGCAAGGGTAATAGCGGAAGCTGGAAGAGAAAAGAATCCCAGGCAATCAGCAGAGAAGTGGAAGCGCCCAGAAGACAGAGACTTAAGAGAAAAACGTTGTTTTATCTGTGGAAGAGAAGGTCATATTAAAAAGGAATGCCCACAGTATAAAGGAGCTGCAGGTATGAAACTGATCAAGCTGAGTCGTTTAAACAGACCTTAGGTTTTTTGGTATTTTTGTCAGGGTTGACTAACAGGTAACGTTTTTGCTTCAAATGGCATCACATAAATGCCTTTTTTTTGTTGTTGTTTTTTAGTTAAATGTAGTCGCATTTAGTCAGTTTTCCCTTGATCCTCAACTGCCTTTCAGAACTTTGCTGTATCCCAAGAGATTTGACATGGTTTCTCTTAGTAGGTAAGATGCTTGTAGTAGGAAAGGGTATGACTGTCTAGTATGTTGAAATTGCTTCCATTGGCCCCCCCTACATAAGTTTGCTAACATTTTAAATTGCAGCTTCTCTTTCAAGTACATCATAACTGCAACAAAAGCTAGCCTTATAGCTCTTCACATCACCTAAACCAGAATTATTCCGTAAGACACTAAAATAACTATGAAAGCGTACAGATTGCTCAGATAGAATAATGTGAATGATACAAAGAATATTCCTGCCAACTCAGCAGTCAGAGGGATAAAGCAATCTGTCTTATTTTTCATGGAGTCAGTTTGCGACTTAAAAAAAAAAAACCAACCAACCTGCAAAAATGCCCCCAAATCCAGATCTTGACTGACAGACCTGAATGAAATAAATAAATACTTGCTTTAGCAGTATCTAAGTCATCCTTCAGATAAAACAGATCTCTCACCTGTGTTGTAAAGGAAAATAATTCTAAGGTAAAACTGAGACTCCTTAAGGCAGTGAATGGTACTTTTAGTTAGCTTCCTAAGTGTCATCATTTGAGTTCAAAAGGCAACTGGACACCACACAGCTGCTCATTCTCCCCTTTCCCCCACGTCAGGGAAGGAGAAAATAAAGCAAAAGGCTGTGGAATCAAGATAAAGACAGGGCGGAATGGTTCCCCTATTACAGTCAGGGGCAAAAGACAGACTCATTAGGGGAAGGAAAAAAGGACATGAATTTAATATAGACACTAACAACAACGACACTTAACAGAGTAGGACAGTGAGAAGCATTACCACATCTTACAGACACCTTCCCCCTACCTCTCCCTTCTTCCCAGGCTCAACTCTGCTCCCAGTTTCTCTACCTCCACTCCCTGGTGGTGCAGGGGGCAGAGGATGGGGGGGTGGGATCAATCCTGCTGCTTCTTCCGCCTTTGGGGAGGGGACAGTCTCGGATTCTTCCCCTGCTCCAGTGTGGTTCCCCTCTCATGGGAGACTCCAACATGAGTCCTTCCCATGGACTGCAGCTCTTCCTGAGCTGCTCCAGCATGGGTCCCTCCCGCGCGCTCCAACCCTCCCAGTGCTGAACTACAGCAGCGGGGGCTTCCCACACGGTCCCAGCCTTCTTCAGGTGCGGACGCCTGTCCTGGTGTGGGGTCCTGCACAGGGCACAGGTTGGTCTCTGCTTCACCACGGACCTCCATGGGTGGTAGGGGAGTGGCCCCACCCTCTCACCATGGGCTGCAGGGAGGGTGTCTGCACTGGTGCACCCTGCACCCCCACCTCCCCCTTTCTTCCACTGACCTTGGAGCCGAGGGAGCTTCGAGAAGCTTCTCATAGAAGGCCCCTGCTGTAGCCCTCTCACCCGCTACCGAAAGCCCCACCACAGAAACCCAGCACACAAAGGAACACAGTATTATTGTTTCCCTGTAGGTAAACCTAGGAGCATTTAAATTCATGCTGGAAGAATTTGTTCTACAGATTACTCATGATTTGACCTCTTTAAAGTAACAAACAGGAATCCTTTGTATAAACATAATTTCAAACCAGCTCTCCTCTACTAGCAAAAATGTTCTGTCTGGCTTACATCTAAAATCATGAATACTGGAGTAGGCATTTTGGCAATTAGCTGTATTTGGGGAATTACTATATCAGAATTTGATGAGAACTGCTGTAGAGTGGGCTTCATCTTTTTACTTACTTAGTGCCTGAGGTGTTCTCTCTAGTTGAATAGAGGATTATGAACAACTGGACGTAAGAGATCAGACTTAGTTCTTTGCTGTGCTTTGTGAGACTGTGGACAATTCACCTATCACCATATCTTCATTCATTCTCTGAAGCTCCCTGTCTCTGATTCTGGAGGAGGATACCGAGCTTAACTTATTGTAGGTTCCTAACTTAGATGCCCAACTATATATGCATCTCACCTCATGTGCCAGTTTTCCACATTATAAAATTGAGGAAAATAACAGTGTCTTACCTTCTACATTCTATGAAGGCAGATTGCAAATATTTTGGTATTCTTTTATCTTATGATACCTGAAATGGAAACTAGTTTCAAATTCGCAAATCTTTGTTATATTACGATCTTTTCAGGTGGTTCAAAACCAGAAGTGTTGTGTGGATCCTCTTCTTTACCCAGTGCTGCCAAACATGCTGGTAGATTAAATCAGGTAAACACCAAGTGTTCCTCTTCTTTGATCTTCTTCTCTTTAAATATTATAAAGTCCATATAAAGTAAATCAAAATAGCTTTACTTAAGTGTTCAAGGAGGACCTTTTATGTTTTACTGTGGAATAACATAATGCAATTTTGTTGGTTCATCATGTGTGTATGTTGTTTATAGGGAGTGTTTATACATGAAGAAAAAAAGAAACAAAAAGGAAAAGTATTTTTGAGTCCCCAGTCAGGTTTGTATGTCTTCATTTCAGTTCAGAAATTCTCTGTAAATGTATTTTTAACTTGCTTTCTCCATCAGTCCATATGTGAACTTTGCCTAATCTGCTAATCACAGCAGCAGTCTGTACAGGTTGATAGATGATTCTGAAGTGAAGCCACTTTCGTTTTTTTATGGGGAACGTGTGCAGTTTTTCAGTTTTGTTTTGGCAGCAAAACTTAGGCATGTCAGTTCTGTGCATTTTTTCTTTAACTCTGGTAGATTTATTTTGCAGAAGGATATTGTGTGTTTTTACCAATCTCTCTCATCTCTCCTCTTTTGGCATACATGGGGTTCTGTGTTTCTTCAGGGACAACATGTGGAGAGCTTTCTTGTGAGGCTCCCTCAGAGTAATTGTCTAGAATTCCACATGATCAACTAACTTAGGAAAGACTATCAAAGCCCATCCTTGGTCTGAGCTGCCAAACTGCAATGAAGTTAAAATTATACTTACAAGTAGCAGTTGGATGATAATATAAAGGCTTTTATGTACCCTCTCTGTATCAGAGATGTTTTGTGTTAGATGCACAGTTACAAATGCAGCTTCCTTACAGTAATTTCACACACTTATTAACAGGTACAATGAAGATTTTAAAAGCAACTGCTTTTTTTTTTTAGTTACTTTTGATCTTCTAGTGCAACTCTGCAAACATTTTAGCAGCCTGGGTTTTTTCAATAAAATATATAAATCATATCTGGTGCACCTGAAGGGGGACCTAAGTAGTCTCTACAAACTTTAGAAACCTAAACTGCAATTAAGTGTCTCAGTTTGGTTGGGAAGACACAGTATTTTCTAGTTTTACTGCAAGGCTTTTTCAAATCCAAGTTTGGGGATTTTAATCACAAAGTGATTTGTCATTAGGTGTTCAATTAAAAAAAAATGCTATTTTCAATTTTGTATTTTAATATTTCCTACTATCCTCCAACAGGTAATGATCTAAAGTTGATCTGTGTGTGCTTTCATTATAGTTTGACTCAACAGTAATTTTCTCCTGTCTGATTGTTTCAGCTGTTTCATGCCTTGTCTTTTTTTTTTAACCTTTGAAGTGTGATGCTTTCTTCTTCCCAATCCCAGGCAGCCTTTCCAATAAATACATGACTCAGGGAAAAGCCTCGCCGAAGAGGACCCAACAAGAACCATGAGAAATCTTACACACTGTTAAATTGCAATACAGGCCCTTCATTCATTTAAAAAAATTTTCTTTGGCTAAAGCATCTGGATTCACAGGACAGCAGCACAGACAACCTTTAAATTCAGCTTAATGAAATATGAGTGGTTTAATTTAGATTACTAGTACAAGCAACGATGGATTTTAGTATGGACCCCCACTCTTAAATAGATTGTTTGAGCATATTAATAGAAAGCCATGATATTTTGTATTTGTTTAATAGGTAAATCATATAGAAAAGGGCAGGTACTAAAAGTGGACTGGTTTCAAGGTTTTGTTGTTCCACCTGACCACTTTAAAATGCACTAAAATTGTGTGCAAGCCAAATACGTTATATTTTCTTCAAAAATTGATTTTTTGAAGGAGCAGATAATATTTATTAATGTTGATTGTTTACTGAATCCTTGTGTAAAAGTGTTTTAAATGTTTGTAGACTTCTACGTTATTTTTTTTCCGTAGAGAACTGAAAATATAGACACTAGTAAACATACGTAAAGCAATCTCTGGACAAGCAGTGCCATTGGGATTTCGTGGGGTTTTTTCTGTTCTGTGAGTTTATGGGAATTCATTTGCTGCTGTGCTTGTGTACAGGAAGAAAGAAAGACTAAGAAACAGGGCAGTCCTGTTTGATGCTGCTAAGAATTTTTTTCAAGGCCTTGGGGATACAGACAAAAATGCTTTAAGGAATAGAGGTATTATATTTGGCAACTGGGGAAAACACATGTCCATTTTCATTAAATGTGAAGAGGATCTTTGTACCAGCCAAGAATTTAATTAGTAGTAAGAACTTGAGCTTTACTTGAAGTCCTTCCAGAGCTGGTAATGTACCGTCTTATCTTGTTCAGGAAATAATTAGTTACATAGTAAAATTGAAACCACTGTTATTTATGACTTTGAAATAAAATTTAAGAAAAAAAATAAGGAAATCAGACCTAAGTTTCTATATTTCTTCTTAGGTTGTACTTTTTAGTATTACTGAATTACATGTAGAATTAATGATAACTTATTTGAATTATCTGGTTTTAGAAAGGTCATGTTTAATTTTTTCCCTTACTCATCTATTTTTATTCAAGTTGAAAGCCAGAATTGCCAAAGTGGTGTTAGGGAACTGGGATGCTAACTCCCATTTTGGTTTTCATCCATCTGTAGCCAACTATCTGTAAACTTGTAGATGTGCAACTTTTGCAAATAATTTCTTTTGTATTCTTTCCTCAATGTATTTTAAAACAAAATATTAGCCAGCAACACACAGAAAAGAATTTTGACTTTGTCTTCTATAATGTATTTCATCATATGAAATTGTCAGTTTTTCCCTCAAAAATATGTTAATTCTTGTAGTTTTTCTTTCATATCACACACACACACAAACACACACACAAACAAACAAAAAAAAAAGACAGCCTTCTGTATGCCTTATTTAGCCTTCTATTCAGTTACTTTCAGTTTTGCTGATGGGAATGCAGTGTGTAAACCTCTAAGGGTCTATGGCATAATCTCAATGATAGAAGTTATTAAAAAAAAAAATCAGATTTATGCATATTCACCGTCTTCCATTTGTGATAGTGGTGAAGTTTTCAACTGTGAAATTTTTTAATTCACATCTGAATAAACACGCATTCTGCAGATCCACCGGACTTCTCTCTTTGCAGCTGCTGCTTCCTTATGCAACTACAAATCCTTCATAGTTACTAATGTCATAGCCCTGAAATAAAACCCCCAAATTTGGCTTACATATTACAAGCATTAAACCAGTAACCAATAAATCCTTTGTTTGCTTAAAGAGTAGTTAAAGAGCACAGTCCGAGAATAAACACGTATCTGCTGAATTAAGTTGTAAAATTTAAGAAATGGATTGAAAACGAAAAAGTAAGTTCATCGTAACAATTCTTGATATCCAAGATCCTGCTTGCCTTATGGGAGCGTATTTTCAAGGGAGCAATTTTCCATACACAAAGGACTCTGAAAGACACACTGCATTAATAAAATGTTTCTAGAAAAAGAATGGTACCAAAAGTAATAAACTAAAATAATAGTTTACAACTAAATTCATACTAATAAAATGTAATAATAAATAATAATAATAAACTGAGAGTTTAAGTGACCTTTTCTGAAGCACCTGTATATTCAGTCCACCTAATGATATGGGAGAACAATGTCTTGGTGCCAGTGTTTATTTGTGCTGCTTTTTTTACTTAAAAAAAAAAAAAAAGTGCTACTGTCATATTTCACAGGAATTTCACATGCTTTTGATGTCCCTGTTTCCACAGTTGGAAAATGTCCAGTGCTATGAGTAAGTAGCTATCAGTGCTGAAAAAAGGTGAAGGATGAAATGGTGTTTCAGGTATGCCGCACAGTAACTGTCAGTCTTAAACAGGCAATTTAATCTCAGTTCAAACTATGTAACTACTAGATTAACACACATCCATCTCCCCTAATCTAATTGTTCTGGTGATATTTGTTTCATAGCTATATTTAAAACTGGTTTCTCATCCATCAAAAATTGTATTTAGATGTCTTTAATACACAATTATTTCTTTTATAAACCTCATCATATTTTTATAAAAACTGCAGAAGCCACATCAAAAATGATCTTCACTAGTGACTGTTTGGGTCCTGAAACAGTGGTTTAGAATGGGAACTTGCTAGCAAAGAATTTTTCTTTTTTTCCTATACTGATAAAGTTATCGGTCATATCTCTTGTTATTTGCATCAAATATTTAATACTGACTTTTGCTTTTATCTTCTGGTAATGTACTGAATCCAAAAAGCACCTTAGAAGTCTGTTGCTCTAGCCCATGCTCAGTCTTTCATGATGAGATTTATTCAGCAGGCAGGTGACTAAAGAGTGATGATGAGAAGCATCGGAAGGAAGTACAAGAAGCAGCTCTTCATGCCTGTACGGTAGACTGTGAACGATGCAAGAAGATACTAGTTACCTTCATGCACAAGCTTCGCCCCTCCAAGCATGCGTATTACTGACTTCAACTTCTGACTGATAGTGCATTTGAACCCTCCCACGCCTGAGTGGGTGTGGCTTAGGTGTTGCCTAAATTTTGTGTGAATGCCACATTTTGTGTAGCTAAAGAAAATACGACTTTTTTTTTTTATACAGCTGGTACCTTTGTATTTGAGGTGGAACTACCGTGCCTCATCCAAGAGTAGTGGCGTAATTATGTATGTAAGCAAGAGAAATACCTGCGCATTTACTATCAAGCTCTTCAAAACAGATATCCTAAGTAGATGTGGTGATGAGAGGCGGGCGCGTTGCTTGCACTTTGCAGATGCAGGTTTACAGTGTCACCCAGCGTACTTAACCGCGCTGTCAGACGAAACGGCAGGCGGGTGCTCGCTGCCCTCCCGGCACAGCCGTCGTTCCGTCTAAAGCAACAGGCCCGCCCCTCCTGCGCCGTGCCTGCCAGGGTCTCCCCAGGCGCCGCCTCCCACACGGGCAGCGCCACAACCTGTTTACGCTCTTTGCCTCGCTCTCTGGCAGCGGCCGGGCCTGGCCCCGCCGCCTTCCCCAGCGGCCAGCAGGGCCTGAGGGGCCGGGCCGCCCGCGGCGGCTGCGGCGGCCGAGCCTCTGCCGCTTATCTCTGCCCGCAGGCCCCCGCCGCGGGGGCGGGGCCGCCGCGGGCTGCCCATCACAGCCCGCTACCCAATAGGGGCGGTCGCCGCCACGGCGCCGTGGCGTCACGGCGCGAGCGCGCCGGTGCCGGTGGCAGAGGGCGGCGATGGCCTCGTCGGTGGTGCGGGCCACGGTGCGCGCCGTCAGCAAGCGGAAGATCCAGGCGACTCGCGCCGCCCTCACCCTGGTCAGTGCCAGTGCCGCCGCCGCCGCCGCCGCCTCGCCGGGGCGGGAGCTGCTCCGCGACCGGCCTGCGCCGGGACGGGCCTGCGCCGGGACCGGCCTGCCGCCCGCCCCGCGGCGGGTGTTGCGCGGCCGCCCCTGGGCCGCCGGCGGCAGCGGGGTGGGAGGAGGGCGGGCCGGCCCGGCTGCCCGCCCGCCCTGACCGGGCAGGGGGCGAGGCGCCGCGCCGCTGCGTCGGGACTCGCCCGGGGCGGTTGTTGCGGCCCAGGCAGGGCCGGCACCTTCCGCCCGCTGCCGTTGCCGGCTGTGCGGCGCAGGGAGGGGGAGGGCTGCGGCGAGCTTGGGGGAGGTCTCCTCCCCCTTGCTGAGTTAACGGGGGTGTGCGGGGGGGTGAGGAGCTGCCGCTGCTCGCCAGTCCCGCTGGGGAGGTGGCCCTGCTGCTCCGTGTGCGGGGAGCAGGCGGCGGGAGAAGGGGGAACGCCGGCGCGGCCCCGTCATGCAGGGGGGGATTTTTGCATAGTCATCTGAAGAAGTGTATCTATTCAGGAAAAAAAAAAGACAAAACAAACAAACAAACAAACAAAAGCTTATGTCCAGAAGCAGGCTGGTAGGCTGTTTCTAAGAAGGCTTTGTATCCTTTTGTTAACTGAAGAATGCGTTTGCTACTGGCGGCAGTACTGGGGGGGGGGGGATTACCGCAGAGGAAGGTACAGTCAGTTTTCTGCAGGAACCAGGGCACATTAGGTGAATATTGTTCAGTCGTTTGTCAGAGCGGGTATTTCCTGTCCAGTAGTGATTCTGTAACAAAAGAAAATAAATATGTGTAATTAGAAAAGGTTTACTGCTGTTAAGTCTACTTGTACTTTGCTTTGTGTGTTTAAGTCTGCTCGTGGTAAGACCTTCACATTGCTAATGCTTTTCCCTTTCTCAGTGTCTTAGAAACTTGTGGCTACGTAATGGAAATTTCTGTGTTTGTGTTATGTTCTTGTATTTCTGCAGCAACTAGATCTGCGTGAACGGTGAATTTATCAGCTGTAAAGTCACAGTTCCCCTCTAGGTTAGTGGGAAGAGATAAACAGGCCATAAACACTTCTGTGCCTAATGGATTTTTGTTTGTAATGTGTATGTGACAAAAGTTTCACAAGAGCAGAACTACCTTGTAAATAGGAGACAATGTAAACTAAGAAAATCTGAGTGCACAGAGTTGGAATAGACATTTTTTTATAGTACAGCTGAGTACATTGCACGCTTCAGTATGTTTGAGCATTTACTGCAAATAAACCAAAAAAGCCCATTTCAAATTGATGCATATGTCTTTGTTTTTCAGACCCCATCAGCTGTTCAGAAGATAAAACAGCTTCTTAAAGATAAACCGGAGCATGTACGTATAAACAGGGCCAACCTGCAGATTGTGATAAAGTACTCACACAGCTCATGATCACAAAGCAATTCTTGCTAACTCTAGAAAAATTTAAAATAATCACTGAGGTTTTGTGTTTGGTTGGGGTTTTTTGGCTTTTTTTTTTTTTTGGAGGGGAGTGCATGAGATTGTTTATATATCAAGCTCCATTTTATAAAATGAAATGCAAGAAATAACTGATTGTAATGGTATTTCACTCTACAGTTACTTTTGAGATTGATAAAGTTGAAATTTTAAGCTTCCATATACTTTTGAGCTATATTTTAAAGAAGCCTTTCAGTGTGGCGTAGTGGTGACTTCTGGTAGGGAAAGAGATCTTCAGCTGTTGATAGTAAGACATTATTAATAAAGTTATTGTAGGAATTCTCATTGTGAAGTGTATAATAAGAAAGTTAGATTCGCACTCACTGGAAAACATCTAATTCTTAGGAAACTTGCCTGACAATGTGGGGGTTTTTTTAAGTGACCAGCATTTCTCAAACAAATTGATTGAGCTTGTCATGTTTTCTCCTTGGGGAAAAACAGAGTCTTGCTTTCTAACCATTATAAAAACAAGCATTAGCTTTTCTTCTTTACAGTAACTATTATTTCAGGAATAATATTTCTTTATTAACTGTCAAGGAAAGCTTGTTGTTTCTTTTGCTTCCTGCACATCTGCAATTAATTAGACTCCTTGTTCTAATGTTTTAAACCATTCTAAGGAAACCCTGAGCCTACAGCTTAGTTGATCAGTCATCCCCTTGCTATAAATGCTCTTTGCATTTTCCAAGCCATTTGTAGTAGTTCTGTAGAGAAGGGTATTTAGTCTGAAAAGATTTAATGTTGTTTGTCTGAGATCCCACTTGATGACAAGTGGTATGTTTTGATGCATTTTTATTACAACATTGATGGCAAAGATAGACAATACCATTTTCAGTTATGAAGCATTGGTTTGTGGAAAGTGGTACAGATGCTTTTGAAAGATTGTTGTGCACAAGTAGCTTTCTGTTTCCTTAAAACCTTTTCTTGGTTCTTTACTTACACAGATGCTCTTTTGTTCAGACGTGCAGGATACTGTGAATATTACAAACATACTGACTAGGTTGAGCTTTTAAGGTCAATTAAAACAGTAAGCAAAAAAACACACTTGGTCTAAGGAAAGGATTGATTTTGAAGTGAGACTGGCAATAGAGGTAATGACAAAATCAAAGTACATTTTTCAAAACTTTGAAGTAAGTTTTCTGATGGTGTCATTACAAGAGTTCTGTGAAAATGTAGTAACTGCCCTTGTCTTGGCCTCACAGCTTCATAATTATGTTACTATCAGTAATCATAACAGCAGCTGAATTAGCATCTGAGCAAACTTTAATTTGAAGTCAGAAAAATGTCCTCCTTTGAAATTTGACTGTCTTTATGAGACCAGTCACCTAGAGGAGTGCCACAAGTTTATCACTTCAAAACTTTAACATATTTTAGGGCTTGATCCACAGTAGCAAGCATCTGATGTTTGCTTTTACCTTGGCCGTCAGTTTTAGAAAAGTAAAAAAATGTTACCTCTTAATCCATTAAGGTAATTCACTTCTGCTTTGAGGCAGTAGGGAGGAATTAATGACAGCATTTTATTGCTCTGTGTAGTTTTTATCTTGGTGTTCCAGAACAGGTTTTTAAGAAGTCATAAATGTGGTGTTGGTTTGTTGGTTTGGTTTGTTTTGTTTTTTAGGTAGGTGTGAAAGTAGGTGTACGTACAAGAGGATGCAATGGACTTTCATACACGTTAGAATATACAAAATCGAAAGGGGACTCTGATGAAGAAGTGGTTCAAGATGGTGAGTTTCTGATGCAGCAGAGCAAATTTATGTGGTGAGGGGGAAGAATAAACTATTACAGGTTTGCCAAATTACAGGTTAGAGCTTACTTGAAGTAATGAGTTATAGCACGAGGTCCTACTGTTCTGTTATGGGAATTGTTGTCACCTTAGTTTCTATTTTGAAGTAACCAGTTAGTTAATCTGCAGTCTGCATCAAGGACTGTTCCACCAGAGTAGTATAGTCTATTGTTCATGTCTTTGGAGGTGTCTAGCAGCAGATATTTAGAGAATAATACAGAACAATGCATATATAAAGGAATTCTTAATCAACATACCTAAACCAAGGCTTGGTGAAGTAAAGATTTTAATTTCCAAGAGATTTTCCAAATTACCTTCTCTAACTAGTCTTATTCTTCATTGATTCCAAATTTGGTTTCAACCTGTTTAAGCTTTTGACCTTCACATTGCTTTGTAACAACAGGTTCTATGATTTTAACTTATGAATATTTTAAAAACTGTTTTCATATGCTGATATTTAAGCTTTCTGCCTGGTAATTTCATTGAGCATCCCACGATAGGTCTATTGCTGAAGTTCCTGTTGTGGTTTAACTCCAGCTGGCAGCTAAGCCCCACGCAGCTGCTCGCTCACTCCCCCCAGTGGCATGGAAGGGAAAATCAGAATGGTAAAAGTGAAAAAACTCGTGGATTGAGATAAAGACAGTTTAATAAGTAAAGCAAAAGCCACATGCACACAAGCAAAGCAAAACAAGGAATTCACTCAGGGCTCCCCACCAGCAGGCAGGGGCTCAGCCACCCCCAGGAGATCGGGGCTCCATCCCATGTAACGGTGTCTTGGGGAGACAAACACCATCACTCCAAACATCTGCCCCTTCCTCCTTCTTCCCCCAGCTTTATGTGCTGAGCGTGACATCGTGTGGTCTGGGATATCCCTTGGGTCAGTTGGGGTCAGCTGTCCTGGCTGTGTCCCCTCCCAACTCCTTGTGCCCCCCCAGCCCCTCGCTGGTGGGGCGGGCTGAGGAGCAGAAGAGGCCTTGGCTCCGCGCAAGCACTGCCCAGCACTCACTGGACCATCCCTGCCTTATTGACAGCACAAATCCAAAACAGCCTCATATCAGCTACAGCCCAGTTCTATACATTTTCCCAGTTTGTATAAAGACTTCTGTCAGTGGTTTTAGGCATTACTGTACTCTGTTACACTATGTTCAGGAATATTACTTTTAATTTGGTGGCAAAGAAAGAGATCTAAGTATAAGTGGGATGTCACAATTATGTTCTTATAGAAGCTATGCTGCTAGGCAGAGCCCGTCTTCCAGCTGTCTTCAGAATACTAGTGACCAACTCATAAATTTTATGCTCTTAAACAGAGAATTAGTTGTAACTTCAGATTATTAAATTGAACCAGAGTATGTGAGATAGGGACTGCCACCTAATTCTGCAGGTGCCATTTGATTTCAAATTCTGGAGTTACCTCTTCTGCTTGAGTCAGAGCTGTTTTAGCTTTACAGAGCTGAAAACACATTTTTTGGAAGGTATTTCCTGATTGGGATCTTAAGGAAGATAAAAGCAGTTTCCTTCAGTCAGGTCAGAGACCTTAAGTTCTGAAGCCAAACAGCATTTCAGGTGTGCCTGTGTGCTCTCGTTTTGGTTGCTTCTAGACAGGTTGCCAGTGAAGGCTCTGACTTTTATATAGCTCTGTGTGCAGTGAGCTGGTGGCTTTGGTTCCCAGCACAAATTTTCTGGCCCCTAGGTAGTATCTGACTTCTTCAGGGATCAGGTCCCTGAACTTCTTCATTAGGTTTAGCCTTCACTGTCAGTTACTGTCCAAGTTGACTCCCAAAATGCGTAGATTCAACTCAGTTGCCCACAAACCTGTGTAAGTAATAAGTCTACTTATTACTACTACTATATACTACATAGTAGTGCCTACTATGATGAAACAGCTTTCCAGCAATCTCTCATACACCTTAATGAGTTCTTGTTGCTGCTCACTGATAAAATTTTAAATTTTTATTTTTATTATTTCTTAGACTGTGGACAGCTAAAGCAGTCCACTCTCACCTTTTATCAGATTTGCACTGTTAAAGTTCAGCAACTTTCCAGAGAGGTAGATACTTTGTATACTTGAGAAAAGGCAGCTCTTCCCAGTTCCTAAAGTGAACTACTAATTCTTAATCCTTAAATTTTGTGGTATCTTTGAAAGTTCACACATTTGTCTTGTTATAGGATTGAGTATAACTAATAGTTAATGTAGACCTAATATTTTTGTCAGAGCAAAAAATAATAATTTTGAGAAAGGAACATTGGGTTTTTCAAGGTGTTTGGACCTCTTGTTGAATGTGCAGACTTCAAGAATGATAGGAAATGGGTTACTGACTGTAATGCATGGGAATTTAGTACTGAAGCTGAGATTCATTCTGAAGTTCTACAGCTTATTTTCCCAGGTATCATGTTTTCAAGTCCCCTCTCAATATATACATTCATGTGCACACACAAATAACAGTTCTAGACTGTTGCTAGACTGTTATAGTAAAAACAATGATGAAACAATTACTTTTAGAGTAAAAACAATGATGAAAGTGCCCAGTGTTAGGCCAGGGAAACCAGGTTATACTGGTAGTCTTCATATTTAGCTTCCATTTTTTTATCATTGGTCGAAAGAGAATTTCAAAGCAAATCATGATTTTGCTGTCCATAAAGCGGTTCTTGTTTTTTTTTTTTTTTCTTTTTTTCCTTTGTTGTCTTCAAGGGGTTAGAGTGTTTATTGAGAAGAAGGCACAGCTGACGCTTCTAGGAACTGAAATGGACTATGTAGAAGACAAACTGTCCAGTGAATTTGTCTTCAATAATCCAAACATCAAAGGAACATGTGGCTGTGGAGAAAGCTTTAACATCTGAAATCTCAGGACTACTACTTTTATTTTTGAGCACCCCAAAACACTTACAGCTTTCGGAAGCAAACACATTTTCTTCAGGTTCATAGGCATTGTAAAATGTCGATACTGTTAAGAAAAACAAATCATTCTGAAAACATAAATTTTGTGTTAAATTCCACCACTGATGTAGTTATGCTGTAATTTGTGATGAGTTGGAATCCAAAAGGTAAGAACAGTAAGTGCTGTAATAACATCTCTGTACTTTCACATGCCAATGAAATAAAATCTCACTGTTCTTTTCCTTTGTCACTTTCTTTGTCCACTCTACTTGCACTTGCCCATCCAAAACCCATTTTAAAGCATATACTGCCAGTGCATTTTGCTTTGATTGGGGAGAGCAGGGGGGAAGAATGCCAAAAAAAAACCCTGCAACCATTTATACGTGTTTATTTATAAAGGTTTATATACACAGGCTCACAGTCCTGAGCCTCAGAGTTCACTATGATTATGTAGGTGCTTGCTTTGGTTTTGTAGTTTTCCGATGCTTTCATCTTGTTATGTGTGGGTTTTCTCGTGATTTATTTTCCCAGAAATTTGAGGAAGTCCAAAAAGAAATTAATTTATTAATGTAGTGGTAGGCTACCATAGCACTGCTTGTAGAAATACTTCAAAATGGGCTAACCCAGTTTGAATTCTGTTCCTTTCCTTGTGGAAGGCACAGTCTTTGCTTAACTTGGGAAGTAATTTTGAAGAACATTAAATATATTCAGACGCTGAAGTACTAAAGCAGGGTACACACAGGCCTTGTTTCTCACATTTGTGTTGTTTATCTTTCTTAAATTGCAAAGTTGGTGAAACTGGCTCCAGATTTTGATTCCCCAGGTTCACAGAATGTGTTGTCTGTGTATCAAAAGCTATGAACACTTTTTTTGAGAGAGAAATCTTAGATTTCTCATTACTTGTAGTCATGTCTGATACTAATTTTGTTCAAGCTTGAACTCTGTTCTGTAACTGCAGGTACTAGGGGTTTTCACCATAGCTTATGGTAACTGCTATTTAACTCCTGTCTTGAAGGTATCTCGGTAAAAGGAAAAAAAGCATAATTTTAAAAACTCCAGTGTTTCATAATTGCTTTAAATGAATCTAGTAGTTAAAATACTGTGCTTACAGGAGACTCTTTTTTCATTGGAATTTAAACTTACTTTCTCACCATCAGAATTTTGTTTTTGCAGACCAATGTTTTTCAAGCTTATGAAGTCCTCAGCACTTCTCTGGAGCTCATGCAGGCCTGTAAATGTCTCTCCAGGCCTTCCCAAAAGCTGGTTATGAGAGGAGTGCTGTTCCATCCTTTTATCTCTATGCTTCCTTGGTTGTCCAAAGGTGACACTCAGCTAAGCTGCTCACTTGTGCAGACGAGAAGGTAACAACGTCTGTCTGGGCAACTGATGGAACAGCTGGGGGAAAAAAAGTGCAAATAAAAAGTAGGGGATGACAGGGACTGGAATCTTGCAGTCAAGGGTGAGGAGGTGTTGAGATGGGAGTGAACCAAGAGCATTAAGGCTGCATGTTGAAAATCCAGAGGTCATGTTCATTGGGACAGTTGTGCCCACATGCCTGTCAAGAACTTTGGAATAGTAATGTGCTGAGGACAGGATTGCAGCTACATTTTTTTTTCCTTAACATGCTTTCCCAGGCATACAGGGAAGAAAAAAGAAAAATAGAATAATTCATCTGTTTTATGCAGTGCACAGGAACACATGGTCAGAGTTTCCACACCTACAGTTTAATATTAAATATTTGAATTTTGGTTGTATATCACCTTTTGATAGAAAAGCACTTCCCTTCAAGAGTCAGCTGTTGTACATGGTTACTTTATATGGTAATTTGGGAGTTACTGGTCATACACTGACTAGGTGCATTGATAGTGTCATAAATCTTTCAGTCTTGCCAAACAAAAAAATTGCTGTTAATGTGATGTAGCTGCATTGGTATGTCTAAAACTCCAAGCTAAGGGCATTTCTCTAGATTGCATTTATCTGCTTCTTGGCAGAAGACAAGACTTCGAATGTGGTAGCACTGGTGGTTGCTAAGAGTGCTAGTACTTACTCATTTAACTTGTTTTGGGGTGAGGGGATTGGTTTAGGTTTTTTTAGGCCTGTGGCTTGTATAGCAATCCTTTTCATGTGTTTTGTGTACATGCCTTGAGAGAAAGTTTCTGCTTTCATAGTCCCATGAAATAATCCTGTAAATTGTCACTCTACTAAGACACCTAATGCACAATGTGTTAAAGTGCTATTTACAGTTGCTCAAGAACATGGTTTTGCTGATTAAATTTGTTTAAATTTTGTGCAATACTGTATGTAGAGTTCTCAGTTATAATAATAAATACTGTGTGTTGGTAAAGATTAAATATTCCTGTCTTGAATAATTCTGTTTACAGTAATAAACAAGCATGGGGGGGAAGAGAACAGGTTTGTATGATAAAATTACAAAGCAGGTAGAATATTACTGTTACCTGAGTTAATATTTCTCAGAAGTATTAAACTTTTCCAAATATTAATAGCATAGAAACATATGGGGGGGGAAAAAAGAAAAAAAAAAACAAACAAACAAACAAAAAAACAAAAAAAAAAAAACAAAAAAAAAAAAACAACCACACACCTATGTGCAGAAATATTTGCTCATACCAGAAGGGTGTGCTGTTAATGCATAGACTTCTGTTAAACTTTGCACCAGATTATTCTTGGCGTAAAAACTCTAGCAGGCAAGATGCTTATTTTGGAGACATCTACATGCCAAAAAGTCATTGTTTTAATGCAGGATAATAACTTTGGTCCAAGTAACTTGACATAAAAGGTTTTTAATTGGCTAGGCAACTTGAGGGTGAGAGTCAAAGGGCATTCCTAGCCATTCTGCTTCAGTGCCATTTAATAGCACTAGCATGCCAGTGTGCTGTGTTTATGACACATTTGGGGTTTTCTCTTAGATAGTCTTTCCACTGATAAAGCTAGGTTTCCTCTTCCTGTTATGTGAAGATTCTGAGCGATAGGGGGTAAAGTAATACATTTTGGAAAAATGCTAGAGATTATTGATACAGTTGCATATTCATGATGCTGGAGAGAGAGAACCAAATCCTTCATATGGTCAGGAGCCTGAAAATGCAATAGTTACCTGTCGGAGTTCTTACACAACATGTCAGAAAACAGTTGTTTGCACCATCAAGTCAGTATTCCTCATCCACCCCGTTTTGTAGCTCTCTTTGAACAGCTCGGGAAGGACAACTTGTTTAGGAAAACACTGAACAGTTCAATATGCAAGTCATCCTGACAACAGGTAATGGGACAAAATGAACTCCAAAATAAATAAGATGCAGGTAATGGGACTCTGAAATTTAATGTTGCAGAAACGTAATTTTTAAAATTTTACTTAAATCCTATCTTCCATAGGTTGCTTCTATTGTTTGGGGTTTCTAATTGTAATTATTTTTCTCCCCATTTATTAAATCAGTGCCTTCACTAGTGGAAAAATTCTCCAACTACACCACTTGTGCTTACGTTAGCTGCCTGGCCATTTATTAGATACGTTTTCTATGACGCCAAAACTTTGCAGTCTCTTCTGACAGACGGATTCCACCGTTGCGTGATGTGGCGGGGTGTGAGCCTCTGTGTTCCTCCCAAAAGAACCGTCAGAAGAGTACTTGAAAAACTACTTTTTTTGTCGCGACCGGTACAGTTTTTTGCCTACAAAGCGATCTGCCTGACAGTCAGCAGTTCTTTACTCTTAACACCCATGAGATGAGCTGCTTCGATGTGGTGAGCGGCGAGGCAAGTACCTGGCACGGTTCCGCCTGCCTTTTGGGGTCCGGGCGGCGCCCGAATAGCGGGTTTTGTACGCGGTGCCTGGCGCCTTTCTTAAAGAGAGATACCGCGGGGGAAGGGTAACCGCTGCAGCTGAGCAAGGTCTCTGCCCTCGCCGTTTACGGTGCCTGCCGGCGGGCCGCCCCGCGGGCTGCGCGGCCCCGGGGGTCCCGCCCCGGCCGCTCCCGCAGGCTGGGCTCCGGGCGCTGGCCGGTGGGAGCACACACCCACTGCCACGGGGCGGCAGCAAGTTTCCACTCCGCGCGTTCCGAAAGGCGAACCGTTCGGCCTCTCTGCCGGCCCCCGCGCTCCCCGTCTCCCATCCCGTTTCACGGATTCCGGAGTGCTTTCGCTTCTACTGGTGGGAACTCCCGTGCAGCTCGGCCGTTTGTCCTCCCCGTGTCCTGTTTTGTGGTTTTTACCTGTTCCCGAGGGATGGCAGATGACTGCAGAGATGCAATATTGACAAATCACTTCAGAGCTCCTGATGCCGAGAGAAGCAGGGGAGCAGAGCATAGCTTTCTGACCAGCTTTGGCTACTAAAGCATCAGTAGGGGTTTTTTCACCGTTCCTCCCCGTGCTAGTTGTGTGCTAATGGGCTTCAGTAATATTGTGTCCGGCTCCAAATTGTTGCAGATTTCTTCCTGATGGTTAGCTTTAACCTCTAGGGTAACAGAAGTTACTTGCTGGGATGGTACAGGATGGATGCGGGACAAAGAATCTCAGAAAACAGTATAGTCTACATTTACAACAGAAACACTCTCATCCTCTACACCTTGCTTGTCTCGGTGTTTTAGTGACTGCATAATGATTTTATTGCCCATGATTTTAATGAAAATTTCCTTCTGTATCTCACCCAAGCTAAGTCCAGACAGCAGGAATAAGTTCCCCTTACTAGCTAATGAAATGAGACAACCTCCAAAAATTTGAAATAACCTGAGTAGCAGAACTCAACTCCTATAGATGATTTGCAGCCAGCCAATGCCTTTTTCAATCACGTTTTAATCCTTAATTTGATCACAGTGAGTCATTCACATAGACCTTTCATTCCTAACCACAGTAGTCCTTCTGATTAAATGCAAAATACTTGTATGGAGTGTGGCAAAACTGTGTTTAAATTAGATTGCTTTGCTGTTAATTATATTAATTCTTTCCTTGTGCTTCTTTCATATAAGAAGCTTAAATGCAAGTAAGTATTCAAATGAGGAGAAAAGGCAGGGTGCTAATGAATGTAATCTCGTGGGATCTTATGAAGCACATAGGTGGTAAGGAACAGGAAGCAGTCCCTCCTGTCAACCTCTGTTTTCACAAGAGATTTGCAGGGTGAGGTCCGCCCATTTGCAAATGAGAGATAGCTGAAGTGAGTAGTCAATGTTTATTTCTAGTGAACATCTAATAAATACTCCCCCAAAACAAACAAACAGAAAAAACAATACTTGGATGTAAAAAGTAGGAACGTAAAACTGCTTTTTGGAAACTTTGTTGAGAAGATAAATTGTATTGCTTCTCCTTGAGATACATCTTCTGAATTTCTGCCTTTACTATGAGCTGTGATGTGAGATTCAATCAAACAAACATTGGCGCAACTTCCTGAAGTGGCTTTAGAAAGTTCTTGTGTACTCATCCCCTCGGTCTGAGGCTGCCACTACTACAGCAGATTTGTGAAACAAGTTCCTGAGCCTCAGCTGTTGAGGGTGAGTTTACATTCATGTGTTGCACCCTGCACTTAGTTGATCCAGAAGAGGAACCTGTTTACCCTTGCTGAAATGTGGGAAAACCCCAACAGTGATAAATAGTTACATAGTGAGTGTAGTTTACTTAAACTACCCTGTCAAGAACTAGGGATCATCTGCCCACGCCTGAGGGAGCCTGAAATACCTGCTGCCAGGATATTGTAAGTTACCTCCCACAATATTCATTTCATGAAGAACCTCTGGTTTCTACAAATAACTTAGAATACTAAAATGCTCTTGCAACCATTAAATGCAAGGCTTGTTTAACATGTAGCATGGGTCTTTGCCGTTCCCACCTGATGGACAATGTCCTCTGCGAACGGTGAAGCACTTTAAAAAGACTCGGGAAAATGGTTTTGAACTCCAGGTTTAGATGCTTTCGAAGAAAACTATTCACATTAGATCTATGCATTTGCCATCCTGTGTCTGACTGAAATTTGTGCTGCCAGGGCTGTACTTAAACTGGCTAAAACAGCCCTGCATTATAATTCAGCCCATATGTCGCAATAAAGAGGCTTTTGCATGCGTGCACTTCTAAAAATGGAAGCCTTGGTTTATTATGAATTGGAAAAATATTTCCTGGCAAACAGCACTCTGGTGGGAACCAGCCAGCACTGAATTTTGCACGGGAGATGCTTTGGTGCACTGCGAAGGCTGTGGCTTTGTTTCTGCTCTGCTTGATCCCTCTGGCCCTGCCAGCTTGAGAAGCTTCCTTTGAAGTCACCCCCTGTTTAAAGCAAGTCCTCCACAGAGCATGGCACTTTTAATTCCAAAAAGTCACCTTTTGGGTGGGAGGTGAGAGGAAAGTGAAAATAGGCAGAAAACCAGAAATTCTTTGCCTGAGGTAAAATAATATCTAGACAAAAAAATATAACATTTTCGTGGAAATCACAGAGTACTGTATCTGTCCTCATGCCAACCTGAGCTGCCATTTATTGACGCTCATTTTTGCTGCCCAGAGGCCCAAGTGTTAGCCCCATGACTGACACCAGCCTTCCCCTCCAGCTAGGGGCTGCAATCCCACGGCGCGAGCGCGCGCCACCATTTTGGGCACGGGGGAAGGTTCAACCCTCCCCTTCCCCTCCTGCTGGGGAGCCAAACAGAGAAAGCGAGGCGCGGGACAGACGAGGCCCTGCCGCTGGCGGCCATCTTCCCCACGGCCTGCTGCCGCCCTGCGGCTCCTCAGCGCCCTCCGGCGCACCCTGTGCACAGCATCCTGAGCCGCTATTGGCTAACTCGAGCTCTGTCCCCGCCCCACACCCCAATCACACCAATCATGTTCGTCTGGGTCAGCTGCCCCACCCCCTCGGTGGGGCTGCTGGGGGCAGGGAGTGGGGCGTGGGCGCTCCCTCACAGGTGGCTCCCTCACAGCAGCGGGGGGTTCCTGCAGCCCTCCATTTCCCTCTCCCTGAGCAAACTCCACCTCGTCGGGAGCGTGCTGGTTTGTGTGCAGCACAAACATGGGCAGGGCCCCTGGTGAGCGGGGTGGGCCCAGGATGTCACCAGGACAACAAGCCCTGGGCGTCCCCCCCTAAGGAAGAGCCCCTTTGGGGGGGTCTCCTTCACTCCCCTCAGCCTTCTTGGGGTGCAGGAGCGGAATTTGGGGGAGAGCACAGCAGCAGCAGCGGGAAGGCCACTAGGGAAACCCACAAAGTGAGTTTAGAAGGCGCCGGTGTGCCCTGGCAAAATATAAGCAGAGGAGAGAATAATGCCGGTCTACCAGGATGCTTGGGCAGCAAGCAAACAGGGGCTTTGTCTGTGTCAGGAAAAGGGAAACTAAGGGAAAAAAAGAATGATGCTAAGTATGAAAAATTTAGTATTTCATGATGAGCTTGCTGCTGAAATCTCGACCTGGGAATCATCTCATAAGGAAACTAGGAAATCCTGCTGTCTGTGAGCAGGTTTTGTGATAAATAACAGAATAATTTTGCTTTTGCTAAAAGTAATTAAACAATTACTTTTATGGAGTTACCCTAAATCTGTTATTAAAAATTAGTGTTGTTAAAATTATAACAGTTAAGCAAGCCTTTTTTGATCACAAGTTATGCATAGGGTTGGGCGTTGTGTGGAGTTGGGCAAGCAAAAGGATGGGGAGGGGGTGGTCTGTGGTTAGGTATCATGTAAAGAGGAACGGAAGCCAGCAGAAAAAGGGTTAAGTGAAGAACTCCTGATGAAGAGGAACCTGGACTTAGTTCCCCCCACCAACACCCAGCTGTAAATTCCAGAGAAGAGGAAAGGGGGTGGGAAGGAGAGTGAGTGGACTTGTTGCTTGGCTTAGCCGTGTTGCACTGTTCTTTCTTTGATTTCATGTTTAAACCGAAGGTTACATACAACATTGCTGTTGCCTCCCCTGCTCAGCAGCTGTCTGTTTTGTGATAAGAAGTAGTGAAGTAGGGGAAAAGTGCAGGGAGAGACAGCCCTGAAGAAACCAAGAAGTAACTGCGCAGGTACAAAAAGGAGGACTGGAATTATAAAAAGAGGCCCCTGACAGGGCAGGTTGTACCATTGCGCTCAGAGCTGTATTCTTTGCTCCACTGACTTTGTCCCCAGTAAAACCTTTTTTATATATATACATGGGCTTGTTTCTCACAGTTTTAATCTCCGGTGGGCAAATTATTGCGATGCATAATACAGAGGCACCACAGTTAGGTCACCAGACACTGGGGAATAAGGGATTGAGTCCCTCTTAGGCATTTTTACTTTTCTTGTTCATCTTTTCTCCTCTTAATCCTGTTTATCATTTTGATGTCTTTTAATTCCTAATTAAAATCGCTTTTCTTTTTTTCAGCGCAGTGAAAGCACAATGGATAAAATGGGAAAGATACACTGCCAGAAGATACAAAGCAGAAGAAACAACCATTCTCTTTTGGCTTGAAAGTGAGTATTGTAACAGTGTAAAAGCAGTCTGTAGGTTTTCTGTATCACCTAGTTTCTTTCATCCTCTTTTTTTTTCAATTATTTTTTACAGAGCAATTGGCTAGGTAACTCTACAGTAGCAAGTTTTTATTTGTTCAAAATCCTTTGGTGTGTATAGTGGAACTGTTGGAGTGCAAAGATATTCTAGGCTAAGAGTCACAAACACATTTGTACTGAATTTTTGTGGTGAAAAAAATAATATTAGAAATTATAGCAGTTTAACATTTCAAGTATATATGAGCACAGAATTTCAGTTACTATCATATGCCCCTATTCTGAAAAAAAAAAAGAAGTATTTGTCTTACCTTCATGGCATAAATCGAAAGATAATGATGATTCTCAGTTGTGCTGAGTGAATCAATACGCTTGGTCAGAAGATCAGTAATAGGTGGAGATCTGGTTCTGCTTTGTCCCTTGCAGTGTGTGGCCTCAAATAGTCATTCATCTTAATGAAAACAGCTCACTAGCTTGCTTTCATAAATTTTGAGTACTGTTTGAATAAACCGAAGAGCCGCTGCAATCCAAACAACAGGCATTCTGCCTGAACTAGTTTCTAGTCTATGCAATGCTGCTTACACATATACAGAAATGGTCAGTTTTTCATGAGTTTTCAGTAAAATGAAACTATTTTTAATGCATAATATTTGGATACAGTACTTAGTAGTATAGGACAGCAAACAGATAGCACATCCTTCTCATGGTTTGGTGCATTGCCTTCGCAGCTTCCTAGTAAGAGATCGGCTGGCACTGGCTGCTGGACAGATGCTAAGCAGAGTTACAGCTTCCTTAGGTTCACTTTCTCCCTCCTAATGATCTGCTTTATACAAGTATCCTCACACATTGTTCCAGACAAATTGCATTTTAAAATTAGTTTTGGCCAATTTTATTAATCAAAACATGATGTGGAAAGCTAGAGATCTTTTTCATGAAGCAGTTGACATCTACAGTCTGTTGTAAACATTATAAAAGATATACAGTATGTTACAAATCAATCCAAAAGGAATGTATTCTGTTATGATTGTGGAGTGCTGGGAACACGGCTGTCCTGGTTCGGTCTGGAATAGAGCCTCTGGGAGTTCAGTGTGCTGCAGCAGCCAAAACGAATGTGAACTCTATTCCAGCCTGAACCAGGACAATGGCTCATCATCTCTCATGTGATCATCTTGCTTTTATCTTCATACCTAGCTTGTGATTACTTTTATGCTCTATTTAGATTGTAAGAATTTTGTGGCATGGATGACTTGCTTGTATTGTATGAAGATCAGTGGCTACCAAACTGTGACTCTTATCAAAACTTATACTATTTAAAAATTTAAGTATTAGTAGTAACAACAACAACAACAATAATAACAATTCATAGAAATCCATAGAATTTACCTTTACAGTCCTGCTCCATTAATGTGAACAAATTTCTTATATTCTTTTCAGGTATCAGAATTGTTGTCATCCCTCACAAATATTAAAAATGAGCAGCAAAAGTACCCACCACTTTTGGAGAAATCCCTCATCTCTCTCTTCTATGCTATACAGTCAGCAGTAAGATCTAATATTTGCGATGCTGCAGCATGTAACAAACACAAGTGTCTTTCTAATGTGTCTATTAGTATCATTTGTTACAAATAGATGTTGAAAATTAAAATGCTGAATCACCAAGCAGAGGAATGAGAATCCCAGGCAGTTTCATATCTGAAGATGTCAAACAGCTGTCTAAATCAAAGTAAAAAAAAATCTGTTGCTGGAGGGCACAAAAAAAAGCTGATCTTTGTGACCTACTGCAAAAACTTATACTCCCTTATGTGTTTTTGATCAAAAATTACCTTCTTCTGCCAATTTCTTTGATCCAAGACAAACATTTCAGTGGGGGGATATTATGTGAGATACATTTCAGGAAAAAGAGGAGGCTCCAACCAGCATTCAAGACTTCCTCCGTTTCTACATTACACACTGCTGACAGTGAGCAGTCTGCACTGATAATTATTTATGGATGTCTCAGAGTAGCAGAAATGGCATTAGCCATAAACAACAGAACAAACCTTAAAAAAAAAGGAGAAGAACTAAGCCTGAATTTCAAGACATAGGTCCTTAATATAAGAACTAAGATGTCACACTCTGATATAATTTCCAAATAATAGAAGCATGACTATCTGGGACATGGAAAAAGATGTTTGTCAAAGCAAAAGTGGGCAAACAATCTGCTGCATTTATTTACACCAAACATTTCTTCTTCTACAAAAGCCTGCAAGAAATATCAAAAACTTATACAAAATCATGACAGGCATTTGGTAACTCTCTCAGATCCATGTGCACAGAGGTAGTTAATTCATACAAGCCTGTTAGTTGCTCCTGACACTGAATTCTGTGGGAGACTTGGCTTGGATTTTACTGGAAGTTGGACTCGTAAACAATTTTCTCCTCATTTTAGTAAAGTGCTGGATTCTCAAACGAATTACACCCTGTTTTTTTAACTCTACATCTGCTCTGAAGTGTATTGACAGGCTTTTTTATAGATCTGCTACAGCTAATGGCTTGCATACACTGTGACCATTCTGTGTGGAGAGGCTACCACACCAGAACATTTTGATCTCACTTGAACAACAGAAGGGAGAACCTGTGCCAAAGCAACACTTTCCATACTTCTCCCCTCCTCCCCATCTTCATGACTTCAAAGTAGTTTAGGGCTTCGTATCAATTTTTCATCTGTTACTCAGTGCGTGTGTTTGTGTTCATATGCATGTCTAAGAAAAACATCAGTTAAGGAATCTGAGTGGCCTTCCTGCATAACTTGGGAAAACTTAAACCAATTTTTATAGCTTCTGGATTCTCAGATGTAACCTCAAATCTCCAAAGAACTATTTGGTGGAGGCTGTCGGTTTTCTACCATTACAATAATTTTGGGTGAGTCTGCACCTGAAGACTGCCATAGTATCCACTTCCTTACGTCCCTCAAGAAACTGACAATTGTTTAGTTTCAACTGGTTCCCATACTGTCCCTGCCAAGATGTTCCTCAGATGCCAACAGCAACAAAATCCATGCCTAGATGACCAAGGAGGCTTTAGCATGGAGACAGAATGAAACAAGCTGAAATAAGATCTGTTTTTTACTTCAAGTAGCAGATGCAACATAGGCAGCATCAGTACAAACCTGTCTTTACTGATCTGCCAGCAACACACACTATGAGAGTGAGCAGTTGTTAAGTGTTGATGTCTAGTCATTTTTTGGCATAGTAATTGAGACTGGCAGTATGAGTGCCAAACAGTGATGGTGAGGTGTGAATTATTTTTCCTCTTGACTTTTTAATCAGTAAAAATCTATCTACTTGTCTCAGTGGAAGCAGCACTAGGCCTATTTTTTTTTCTAAAAAACAAACAACAACAAACACTGTGGGTGTTTATCAGTGTGGATACCTCACTGCAAGAGTTAGGTCCTGAACATCCCTTTAAATTATAGCATGCAGAGGTCAGCATTCTGCCTTGTTACAGTGTACTCCCACCTATTTTAGAGAAAAAGTTGTATTCCATATGCATTAACATAATACACACTTTTTTCCCAGTGTCACAAATACCATATGTGATCTTCCACCACCTGGGGGACTGCAATGGAAATTGTATAAAGGGGCTGTGAAGAAGAAAGGGTTGTTCCAAAATTTTTTGGGAGGAGCAAATTACAGACCTTTCAAGATACCAGAGGAAAAAGGCACACTATGTCCTCCCTTTGATTTTTAATGATTCAATAATTTTCTCTGTTTATCCTGCATATCCTGTTCTACATCATGAATTTAAATGGGAATGACTGCACTTCAGCAGAGAAAGCAAATGGAACTGTAAGTGCTATAAGCAATGAAAAAGTTATCATTATTTCTCATTATGCTTCAGACTGTAGTAGTAGCTTGAAATTGAGCCTGGAGCATGACCTCCTCATGCTGTACAAACACAGCAGAACAAAATGACTCTTTCTCCCAAATGTTTTACTGTTACTCAGATGTGGAGCAGTTGGAGGGAAATATTAGCCTTCAGATAAACAAAGTACATGTATTTCTTTGTCTCTGCAGGAACACAGTAAATTGCCATTTATATAACAAGAAGTATATCTTTTTCTGTTCAATGTAATTCCCAGCCTAGAGAGCTTGGCTCAGTTAAGTGGTATCTGAGATATCCCTGGGTCAGATGTGATGCTGAGAGTAGGCATGTTCTAGGTTAATCAGCCCACTTATCTAACCAAGTTGTGCCCTGCTGAGACTAAGGAACTCAATTCTGTCCTTCTTCCTCTCCTCTTTTTATTTCTTTCTCTCCTTATTTTTGCACATTCATGTCTCTCAAAATATTTCTCCATTGTCTTCTAGCCTCTTTCCAAATAATGCCTTGGGTTTTTTTAAACTCCTTTTCTCTCAGAGTCTACTCTTTTCAGTAGTGAAGCAGTCTTTGCTCCCAAATGTCCAGGGAAAGACCCTCTTTCAGTTTACTTTGTTTCGGGGATAAATTTCCCCACTGAATCCCTCCCTTGTCTTCCATTCTCCTTTGACCCATCAGACTCTCCTGTTTTATTCCCTCAGTCCTGATTACAAGGGAGATCTCTTGGCCAGACCCACAACCCTGTCTCCAAGTGTTAGCAACATCTTTGGCTTGCTTGGTTGTCATTGCTAATTAGTTAGTCCAGTGGTGCAGCTTTGTCAAAAAGACTCCTTTCTTCCCAGGTGCCCAGAACAGCCACAACCATTCTCTTTAAGCTACTCAGAGGTTTCCACTGCCAGTAGCTGCCTGGTAACTGTGCCCTTTTTCTGTCTTCACCATGGAAATAATTTATTCCCTGGAGGCACACGTGACTGTTAGACACAGCAGATGAAACCAGTCATTTCTTCAAGAATGAGATACAAAGCACGGGTGCAGTCCTGCTGCACCAGATGGTGTTTATGAAGATACCTGAGGAGAGAGTGCTGAAGCTGCCTTAGCTACCCACCACTAGTTACACTCTCAGAAATCCCACTGGGTGAGAGCTAAGTAAGAATTTTAGGTTTGCTGTAAAGCTGTAAAAGTATTCATCTCAGAGGCGTAAGGGGTGTGGGAAAGCGCTGAGTGAAAACCTTGGCTAGGTACTACTTTGCTCAGCTTTAATTGTATCCCCACAAGAGGCTAGCAGCTAAGTGGTAAAGTACTACTTGTGTTTTTTTGGGGGGAGGGGGTGGTTGTGTTTTTTTTGTTTTTGTTTTTTTGTTGTTTGGTTTGGTTTGGTTTGGTTGGTTTTTTTTTTTTGATGATCTGATCTGAAACCTATCAAAGTTAATGAAAACCCTCAGGCTTCACTGAACTTTGTATTGGGACTACAAAGCATGAAATGGATGTCTTCCTACATAAGAAAGATAACTATTCAGTGAGTGTCCTGGCTATTTTCTGGTAATAGCTGTCTCTGCTTTAGAATTTTAGTTTGAAAGGGCACATAGCTTGATTCCCCAGACATGTACTGCTGGGAGAAAGCACTGCCTCTGAAAAATGGTGTGCAAAAGGGTTCTAGCTAAAGGTGGATAATATAAACTTGATGTAGAAATGATTCCTTTTTTGAAAAGGAGGTGTTTTAATGCTGCCCAAAGGCAAGGCTATGCCTTAGCTCCTGGAGGCTCTTGCATCACAGCCTAATGGTGGTGTCACACTGGAGAGTGTCCTTCCCTCACAAAGTGATCCCCGGAATAATAAAGCAGACTCTATGCCTCTGATTCTCCGTGTACGTAGAAACACACTCAAAATGTGAATCTTACCTCTATTTAGATGAATTCATACTGCTGGAGTAGACTACGTAAAACAAATTATTGCTTGTGTAGCTGTTAGAACAAGTGCCTGTAAAACAAAAGGAAACCAGTACTTGTATTTCAGTTGTAGCACTATCATAACCATTCACTGCCTGTAATTTGCAGGAAAGACAGATTTCCTAGTGCAAAGCAAAGATTGCATAATGTCCAGGAGGTCAGCTTAGGCTGTCTATTTATGATGCTTTAAATTCACAGACAGGCTAAACCAAGTAAAATTGTTTAAGAGTCTTTGGAGAAGTCCATCAAGGGAATGCAAAGGAGAATGAGGAAGACACTCTAACCTGTGTTTTGTATCAATGTTTTTATTGATGTAGTAGTTTTTACAGTGAACAATTTAATACAAATTATTCTAACATCATTGCTGAACCTGAGTAACCGAAAGCTATGTAGGAGAAATACAATCTATTTTTCCAACCTTTCAGTATCTACTACACTTTTTGAGGAGCAATTTGAGATATTACCCCTCTTTTGTAGTTACCTTTGTTAAAAGATGTGAGAGTCTAACATTCAGTGATGATTGTGATGTTGAATGTTTATTTTGAAGTGCTTTATTATGTGCAGGCTGTAGGAGCTGGCTCACCACACTCTGCCTGCATGTTGCTATCTAACTGTCTAACACGGGTCTTCGAATTCTGCTATGCAGCAAAATGGTTAGAAGTTATGTCTTTAAAGCTGACCTTAAACCTCTCCCCTCTCTTCTCTCTTTCCCCCCAAGTCACTCCAGTCAAGTTTTCTTTAGCTCTCTGACATTTCAGGCTTACAAACATGGTGTGGATTCTCATGCAATAAATAGAATACATAAAACAAAATAGGGTCCTTTTAAGGCTGTCTTTCTCTCTGATCTAACAATGCAGCAACACAAAT